AGGCAACAAAAATGCTCAACAAATATTAGACGGGATTCCTTCTACCCGAGGACAATCAGAGACTGGAACGCCCTCCCCTCCAGTACAGTGTCCGCAGTGAGCCTTGAATCCTTCAAGACTCACCTGGCTGCCTAATTTATTCTGCTCTGTTTTTAAACTCACTACTTGTATAGTTGCACCTTTTTTAACGCGCACACCCTACACAGTGGCAGAATAATCAGCTTATTGATGGCGGCCGCTTTCCGGTAGAAGTAGAAGTATAGGTAAAATGAAAACTATCAGTGTTCATGTTAGAGCGAGAAAAAATAACAGTTATAGTTACTTGAGATTGCAGGAATATGTATTAATTTATGCTTTGCATGTAATTGATAGGTGATTATTGACAAGTTTAAGTGATTTACATGAGTTGAAATAGTTTGTAACACATGTTTTGAGTTACGTAGGAATCACTGATAATCAGCTGATCATAGATGTAGTAAAGTTGTGGTATTATTTTAGCTTACTTCATGTGTCAGGGACTTTAATTGGTCTTCTGTAGAAGATGAACCATAGATTTATGAGTGAAATCATGTTTTCTTGAAGTTTAACTTGTTTTCAGATAATTATCGGCGGTTTATTGCCCTGTTGTAAACTGGTGAAATGTTTACGAACTTTGTCGTCGTAAATTGTGGAGGTTGAGCCCGATCCTAAAAGTTACGATAGTTTTCGGATTTTTGGAGTTAATGTAGCAGTGTGTTTTTAATTGTATATATTATATATCATGCAATATTGAATAAATGCTAGTATTAATGATATAAATGAAACTAAATAAGGTTCTATAGTTAATACAAAACCTAGATCCACTCCTTTACTTGTGAGCGATAAAGTTCAAGGTTATTCTCTTGAGGTTCTGTCTTTTTATTGGTTGTGGTTCTGAGTAGTTCTCAGAGAGACTACTCAGAGGTTTTGGCCAGGTTGGCAGTGTTAAAAATTACAGAATTTGTAGACAAAGAATTTTAAGACTTTCATTACTTGAGACCTTTAGACCAGACCTGGCAGTAAGTATTTACTTTATTAACATTCTATATCTTTATGATATTTATATTTATAGCTAATATCACTGTTTGAAAGAAGAGTGAAAGTTTATATTATGAATTAAATCTAAATCTTCAGTTTATCATCTCAGAGAATGTATTTAAGTGAATCATGAGTATTGTAATAAATACAGTTTATAGTATTTCTTATTAGATATGTAAGCTGAAGCATCCAGTAGTATATTTTGATGTTTTATGGAATGGGCCTTGTCCCATAGAGAGGTAATAAGCATATATGTTACCTTTTGTATATTTTAAAGTTGTAATATTATATCATTACATTAATTGAAATGTGATTGTAAAATATGTGTGTAAAGATTCACTGTACAGTGATTTATTTGTATGCTAAATATTCAAATTAAAAGAGATAACTCTTAAGTGATAAATTTATCTTTTGTACATCAAAATAAGTAAAATAGAATACATGTATACATTTGTTATTATTTCATGTGATATTCATTGTTATTGTTTTATTTTATAGGGCCATTTATTTCCATACTTTGAGCATCAATATTAAATAATATGAACCCTAAACAGGAGTTGGTTATCTTTTCATCCTACATATAAACCACCCCTGCAACATTAATTGTGTTGTTTGTTGCATTAAATTGAGATAAATTTACTTATTTGAATTCAAGAATGTATTTGGAGATTACTTTCATTCAGAAAATATTTGTCTTGTATGTAGTTATTACATTTTTCTATAGACTTTGCAGTTTAAGGGAACGAGAGATTTTCCAACATTTTTTTTGCTAGGATGATTTGTTTAGAGAAGTCGTGTTTTACGGGTAAGGAGTTAGTATGGGTTGGGCGTTTTGAATTTAGATTTCATGATAATTTTTAGTTTTATTTTAAGAAGAGCCATAGTTATTTTAAGGATTTTTAGGAACTTTTGGAATATTTGTGGAATTTTATAGGAAGTTTTGATCAGGTTTTAAATAGTGAATTTTAACTGACAAATTGGACTTGGCTAAAATTTGATGGTTGTTTGAATTTTTGGTAAATTGCTGATAAATTTTAGAATTACTTGAAATTGTTTATTCAGTTAATACATTCAGCTAAAGAAGCTAGAGTATTCCTAAATTTTGCTACTACTGAGTATTTTTAACTGAAATTCAGACTTAGGAATTTTTCAGGAATAATTGGTGTTTGAAACCTGATAGGAATTTATTAGGTTTATGGAATTAAGTTTCAGTTATCGGTTTTTACTTTCATCCAGGAGATCTGGGAGAAATTTTGAGAGTCAGGAATTCAACTTTTGATTGAAGTTGGTTTTAGACAGATAAGTCAGATGACATGAGACAAACTGAGACAGAATTTTGAATTTGTTGATTGTTCATTTGAGGAATAATTCTTATAATAAATTGTAAAACTGTATTTTGTCTCATTTCAAGTACAGAGATTAACAAGATTTTATCAAAGTGTGGTTTTCCAACATGATGGAAATTGTGGGATATAAGAGATTAAGAACTGAATAATAAGATAATGAGCATTTAAGAATTTTAGTGACTTCCTTAGGTCTAGGTTGTAACGAGCTTGGCAAATAGAGAAGAAAAGCTGAGAGATTTTGTGTATTAATAAATTTAGTGTAACTCAGAGAGCGCGGGTTAACAATAGGAGGTATAGGTTTTGGGAAGTGGTGTGTTATTGAATTGAAGGGAGATAATTTAGTGTTCTGAAATAAGATTTAAGGGTATTGAATTTTGAACCTCTGTGCCATGCTAGCCCTCCTGAGCTCAGGATGAGCTGTGTGATGCAAGCCTTGCCATGAAAGATAAGACAACCCCTAGAGAGAGAGTGGTCCAGGAAGAGCAAATAGGAAGGGGGTTCCAGACCCCTGGACCCCTTCCCTATAGATCCAGGCATGGATTTCATCTATTAAATATTTCTTAAAATAATTCAGCATCAAATATAACTCAGTGAAGCAGTGAAGAGCAACACCTTTAGAATAACTGAACTTTTTCAGAAATAATGGAACTTTTTCAGAATTGAAGGCTAGGAAATGGCATGGAAGAAAAAATTGCATGATACATTCAAATGGAGGATCAGTGTTTTTAAGGACTCAAGATAAAAATCGCAACTGTACAGCAATGAGGATTTACCATGGTAAAAGGTGTATTAGCAGAAAATTCTGTGATGGGTAGGAACTCTGTAAAAATAATGAAGATCGCATGAATTTCAAGTGAACAATGTGTGGCAAAAAAAATGACTAGAAGTGGAGAATACTTTCAGTACCTACGTATTTACGTTTATGTATTTACCTATACTTGTACAAGTGGTTCCAAACTTGCATATTTTAAGCATATTTTTTGTGCCTATTTTTAGCCAAGATAGGTATGCCTAATCTATACTTTATTTTGGTATGGGTTGCCATTATAACCATATGCTGGGGGGTGGGAGTATCATTCAGTGTGCTGAAAGCGCTCATAATATTTACATCCACTGAATATTTCGTCCTTTATTTCTTAAGAAAACCCATTGCGGTAATCAGCAGTGCATGAACTACACTAGGCATGTCAACTAAACAGATTTCTTGATCAGTGGCTGTTCCATCAATGAAACGTACAAAGACGTTCGCATTAATAATGCAATAATTAATCTTGTTATTCATACTTTAAATAATTATTTAAACAGATATAAATATAAACAATAAAGTGTCTTTCTTTGGTTGTTAGTACGGGATGAGTGTCGCAGCTATTGCAGAAAAAAATTTACATAACCCGCTTACGTGGATTATGTAATACATTTTTTCTGCAACAGCTGCGACTCATCCCGTACAAACAACCAAAGAAAGACATTTTATTGTTTAAATACCTCTCGTTTTATATTTCAGTTTACAGAATATTTTTTATTTAATATGGACTTATCTATTTTGGGGATTGCATGTTTCTTTGGTGTTAATCTGGTTATAATCCACATTATTCTGTCTCATTACTACGGAAATTCATGTTCTGGATCAGAACGGTCAATTTCTACGACTAAACATATCAATATTTCATTAAAAATGACTCGTTTTTCTCTGCATGATTCGACTATAAATTCATGTGCTCTTCCTGCCTATTTCTCTCCCTCTTTCTCTCACCCCGCCTACCTATGTCAGTATACATCGAATAAATACACAAATACACCTCATGTGATTCTTTTTTTTTTTTTAAGCTACGTCTATCAAGGAACCAATAACTTCATGAAGAAATCAATTATTTTCTCACGTGTTATTTTATCTTGGACAAAGACATAGGAAATGTAAATATATAAGAATATATGTTAGCCTAAATTTTTAACCCATCGACAAAAATATTAACTTGTAGACAAAACCCAAGATGAAAAAGAATGCTTTGGTTCTTAATAATATCTATTGTGTGAGCCTAAAGAAATTTAAAGTACATACATGTACAGTGTACAATGTATAGTGTAAATTTTTATGATAAAATATTCATGCATAATTAATAATTTTTAATTTTTTTTTTATAAAAAATCCTTCCTTTTCCTTTAATAGAGTTTGTCTATGATTAATTCTTTTGTGCAAGTGAAAAATATCTATTACTGTTTATAGTTTTAAAGAAGCTTTATTTGTGTTACTTTTTGCTAGGTAAAAAAAAAACAGGGGGGAAAAGTGATATAAAGAAAACTTTTAAAAAAACCCTGATGATAATTTATAAGAAAACGGGAAGGAATAATAGAATCAAAGTCAACAATAGTGGAGTGTGGATCCTATGTTACTCTCTCAAAGACAATGGCTTCAACTTCATCATCAGATATGTAAGTAAATCTTAATAAAAATCTACAATTCAGATAAGTCTTGCCATTAAAGCTTGTAATTAAATGAAAGAAATTTCATTCTTTTTCAGTGACTTAGCTATGCAACATTTGTCAGAGTCAGTTTACGTAGTACTGTGTCGTACTGTGGGAACCCCACGAGTTGTAATCATGAGGAGAGATGTGATGGAGATTGCGGATTTAATGAGGAACCAAGTAAAAAAGGGTCTAAAGGGGCTTCATGGCATGCTAAGCGGAAGTCAGAAAGAAGGCTTTCATTTAGAAGGATCTGACTTTGACCTTATGATATGGCCAAAATACTACAGGGTGATTTGGAGTTTACCTCAGACTAGGTATTATCATGAAGTCGTACAAAGATTATTTCTTGCGGATGTCAGTCATAGTCCTCCAGGATATGCTTTACTTCAGGTATTGATACCCCAAGGATATTCATTTTATACCGCAGAAGAAGTTTTAATGGCATTGGTCATCATGTATGGTAGATATTACATTTCTAGTTCAAACTACAGACAGAACTGTAGTTGGCTTGACTTTAAAAATACACGTGTTTCTTTTATGCATGGTCCATGTACCAGTGGAGTGCTTTATAACGACGAAGAATATGATTATGCCTACTGTTTTGCCTGTGACTTTTGGCCTCCATCTGCTTTCTCTTGGATTGACAGATGTCACTCATGGCCCCAACCTGCTGTTGTTTATGATATAGTAAAAAGTGGATGTCACTTTGTACCAATTGGACATAAACAAGGAAACCATCCAGATGAAGAATGGAGAATTTCTTTCTCTCTGGCAGAACAGAAACTTGTCTACGCGATGAACCATTGTCAATTACTTGTATATGGACTCCTTAAAATATCATTGAAAGAGGCATTTCACAAAATACTTGGAGATAGTAGTAAGTTATTGTGTTCCTATCATATGAAAACAGCAATGTTCTGGGTGCTCCAACAAAACGTAATACCCTACTGGCATCCACAGAATCTCCTGGAGTGTTTCTGGGTCTGCTTTAAGCTCATTCTCAAATGGGTCCACGAAGGGGTCTGTCCTAACTTTTTTATTACAGAAAACAACATGTTTCTTCATAATATCTATGGTGAAGCACAAAAGAATTTATTCAATGGGCTATATACACTGTATCAGAGGGGAGTATCATTTCTGTTATTCAGTCCCTTGATTAGGCCTTACTTTGTTAATGTCCTTCAGAATCCTAGACACTACATTTGTATAGATCAATGCACTAGAATGCCTGAGCTTGAGTTTGAAATTAAACTATTTGCTGAGGTTGAGGCAAAAGTACACTTACCTAAATTAGACTTCAATTCATGTTTGGAAGTCTTAAATATAATAGAACAACTCAATTTCAATGATTCTTCCCTTTCTCAGTACCAATTTTTTGCATTAGAAAGACTTAGAAAGTGTGCCCTTCAGATTGCTACTTTTATATTACACACGCACATTAACTTTAGTGCAATTAACAAATTGAGGTATAGTGCTGACAAATTAGCCTGCAACATGCTTAAATTAGCTGCCAAGACTGGTTGTATTTCTGACTTGTTGTATCTAGGAATGTATTATTACAAGACATTCAGATTTAAGAAAGCCTTATCTGTTATTAAAATGACAAAAGTCAAGTTAGCTAGACCATATTTGGTGTATAAATTACCTGTAAAAATAGAGAGTTATAATGAGAACGTAGGGGGACAGTCCTGGTCTACAAAAATGAGAGAGGCTCGAGCAGTTGACATGGACCTTTATAATGAAATCTGTTATATCAATGAATTATTGCCAGAACAAAGGTTTAGTTTACAAAATAAGTCATTGCGATTAACAATTGATGTCTACACATTTTCACACATGCTAGAATTCTTTTGCTATTGCAAAATCGATCCAATAAAAGCAAAATTAGCATTAGATGATCTACAAAACATTGTATACAATTATCAGGGGTTTAACCACAAAGAATTGAGGGACATTCACTGGCAAATTCTTGGGATATGCCAACAGATGGCAGGGGATCTGCAGGCTGCTCTACACTCTTACCAACAATCCCTTCAGTATAAATTCCATGGTTTACAAAGAGCTACACGAATGAGGATACAAAGTCTACACTGTGAAGGTGGTCTATAAACTCAATAAGAGCAACTGAAAACATGACAGGGTACATATGAACATTTTCATGTTATGAATGGAAGAATTCTTCAAATTAATGGGAATTCAAAAACCGTGCAGTGATCAAGCACTAAAAGAAAATATGAATATAAAAAAGCTGACACACTCGTAGAGGACCCTGCTTACGGCTTAAAAGACTAAGAAGATACACAGCATTACCTTGGTATATTGCTCTTCGTTATATTTCCACCCTCGATTAATGCCAGGAATTCTCCTACAACTGAGTTGCCCCTGTGCTAGTACAAATTTTATACTATCACGGATGCTTATTGCCGTCCGTCACTGCTTTTGAGAAACAAATGATTAAAAAACACAATAAGGTAATGCCAATTACCTAGTGCATGTTGATGATTTATACTATTGTCACTAACAGTGCTTTGACAGTGGTCAAAGTGTCAATTTAATGGTTCAGATTGTGACATTGACCCAACGGAAGTTTTAACTGACTCAGAAATTCTTGAAACAGAGAAAAAACTACTTTTGAATCTAAATCTGATGACAGGGATAATGAATTTCAAAATTTCAGATCAACATGTTACGGTCAAAGCTAAAACTGGTATTGACACCATCCTCAAATTCTTGGAGCATGACGACAGAATGAAAGAACAGCTTGGAATTAATAAGTGTTTTATATTTATACGTATTTATTTTATTTTAGTCAAAATTCTTGTATATCAGAAACAATTTTTAAAAAAAATGAGTCTTGCACTCGCATTATGTACTTTTGTAAAAATGACTATAAATATAAACAGAATGTAACAAAATAAATTATGTATATATCTTGATTTCTTTCGATGGTTTACAATTAAGGAAGAACTCGTTATATTGCTATCAATATACCCACGTAGCCCTGTACATTGAGGCTTACATATATACATACTAAGTGATATGACCCTTAAATTTATAACAATCTGTTTTATCTAGTAAAGTTCTTTTGTGTAAAAATTTGAAAATGTTACTTTGAAAAGTATTTGAGTTACATCACAACAGAATTGTTGAGGAACAAATGGAAATACAGACAGATAGATAGATGGACAAGGTGATTTCGAATTCTACAATCCATCAAAACTTAGTTTGCAAGAGGTATAATAAGTAGATAAATAAGTTTATTTTTAGCTATAATGTTGCAAAGTATTCATCCAAGGTAACAATAGATACTGGTGTTGCTTCAGCAGCTCTGTTTACTCCTCATTAAACCCCACAATATAAAAGTAACCCCAGTCCAGAATGCTGGAAAATACTCAAGTTTTACCTCACCGTGTAACTCTTGTAAGAACAGCTATAATGTCTGTCTGTCATTTAACTTTTTCACATTTTTCAACTTCTTCTAAATTACCACTAGGCCAATTCTAACCAAACTTGGTACAAAGCATCCTTGGGTAAAGGGGGGTTCTAAATTATGAAAGTGAAAGGCTAAGCCCCTTTACAAGGGAAGGCAATCAAGAAAGGGACAAAATAAGGTGAATTATTTAACATCCCTCTCAAGAACCAATGGGCTAGAAAAACCAAAACTTCAGTGGAAGCTTTCTGAGGTTGTGTAGATTCTAAATTGTTCAAATCATGGCCTCTGGGAATAGGGTGGGGTCACAATAGAGAATCAAAGATTTACATTGAAATGTGTTGGAAAAAATCTTTTAGAATTTCTTTTCTTTGTGGCAAGTTTGGTTCAAATTTGCCGAGTGGTTCTGGAGAAGGAGTCGAAAATGTGAAAAGTTTTCAGACAGACAGGTGGATGCCAGACAAAATGTGATCAGATAAGCTCACTTGAGCTTTCAGCTCAGATGAGCCATAAAAAAATTTGAACATGAATGGGTCAATTCTCCATTCTTTGTTAATTAATGCTAAAATTATGGAAACGTAAATGAGAAATATATCTCATTTATCCAAAAAATAGAATCTGAACCCATTCTATATTAAAATCGAACATTTCTGAAAAAATATGTACGCTTCAACAAACCCGTTCATTCAACATGTTTAAATCACACTTATCTTAAAAACATGAGTGAAAAGTAAAATTATCAATAAAATAATTAAACTATGAAATACAGAATGAAACGTGTAAAAGATTATATAAACCATATAATTTTGAAAAGCATAGCTTTTATGAACTTTTAGAATTGAGAAATGTTTTTTCTCAGAGAGGGGGGTTGTCCTTGCGCACCCATTCTTTTACCTCGCACACTCTACGTAATTTCTTTTTCTCTAATAAACAAAAGTAAGGCGGTAAGATTACTTCTAAATCTGTAATTTGATATTATAAAAACTGTACATATCAAGTGGCATTTTTATTTACCCTGTTAATGCAAATTAGGTTAATATATATTATAAATCAGGAATTTTTTACTGTAGATACTTTCTTTACGCAACGTGAAAATCTCTGTAATTGTGTTAAGAGAAGTATTCATGGTAAACCGAGCAATATCAACGGTAAATATTTTTGCAAATGCGGAATGAAACAGGGTCACCATGGATACTACTCCTGACTTGCGTTAAGGAACTTTTTAGTTAGTTCCAAAAACTTCATAATTAACTCTTTAACCATTCTTTTGCTTTTTTTCTTCAGATGTAGTTTTTTTTTATTTTGCTGTACATAATGTTTAATTTTGACATGAACATTTTGAATAAAGTAACCTTTATCTTCAGTCATATACTAGTAAACATTTACGTGATCAGTCATATAGCTTGCTGAAAAAAAGTAAAGAAACAGTAGATCAAAGTTCTATTTTAATATTTGTTTCCTTTGTTAAAATAGAAAATTTGTTTCCTTATTTGCCACCTATATTTAAGACATAAGTTATTTTGCTATGTGGTGACAGGTTTGAGACACTGAGGACCTTCCTTGTATCACCCCACAGCATGATCCCAGACGAACAGAAATGTCAGGAGTGCATCCGCTACTGTGAACTGAACAGTCACAGACTTCGCCAGCCACAAGGTAACACAAACTATTGTCTGTACAGGACTGATTTATCAAAATTGTTTGGAAAAACATTTTCCAGGGTTTCATAAACTTGTGGGAAAGTTTGAGTTAGTTAATTTGCAAAAAAAAAAAGATAAATATATAGATAACAAAAGAAAATTATGAATAAATAACTTTTTAAAAATCATAAAATTACATATTCTCCCATGTAAAGTTTAAAAAAAAGAAGAGGAAGAAAAGAATAAGATATATGAATAAATAATTTAAGTTGATAAGTACATAAAAAAAGAAAAATATGAATAAATAAATTAATTTAAGATGACATTCTCTCCAGCAATTTCTATTGTTTGGGGGATTTTTCCACAGGCATTGAAATTTTGATTTAGATAAAAAGACAAATACATCACATAAACTTAATATGTCTCTCAATATTAATCATCCCTCAATCTGTTTACACTTGTAAACTTTTTTGCTTTTGTGGTATATTTTCCAAAATGTATGAAAATTGAAATTATTATAAACAATTTCAGAACACCTTTAATGCTAAATGAGAATTATTTCTTGTGTGTGGATCTCTGAACCTTTGTTAATGTAAACTGGAGGGACACTTGTGCACTCTGTAATGATTAATCATGTAATTTTTAAACATGTTATTTATGCTCTTAACAAAGAACAATGTTTCAGCAATATTGCTGCTATATTGCGACAACATTGCAGCAACACATTTTTGTCATCAGAAAAAAGCTTTTTGGGTTAGTGAAATATCACAGTTAGCTGCAACAACTAAATTTACTTCTGGTAACATTCTGGTGCAATACTGCCAGAAAAGGAACTTTCTGGCAATATTTAGCTAGGATAAAAAAGTACCCATTAGGAATTTGTTGAGCATGCTCAGTCATCTACTTTTTCAAATAAAGTTAGAGGGAATTCAAAAGGAAGCATGTTTTGCTTCATTATTGACTTGTATCAAGTAAATTGAAGTTGAAAATAGTGTAAAATAGGATTAGACAAGATCAGTAATAAGACTGTATAATGTGGAATGGCCAGAAAAAAAAGAATGTCAGCAGTTTCCGTGGCATGGCCTTTTGAGAGAATTATATTAGGAATGTCTACTCTGTTTTCATGGAATATATATATATATATATATATATATATATATATATATATATATATATATATATATATATATATATATATATATATATATATATATATATATATATATATATATATATCAGATTTGGTAAGTCAAAACCAGATTCTTTTTTAGATGAATGATTCTATGCCCATACAAAGAAAGGTACATAAAGGCACATTTTTTTGTGCTAATTCAGTACCTAATGTGTGCCTACTACCGGTATTATAGATACAAAAAAGGCATACCTATTCTGTGCCAAAAATGAACTTAATTTTTTTCTAGTCTACCTAAAATGTACCTAATTTTTGGACTTTGTCATTTCAGTGTTCCTGAAATATGCCTACTTTAGACTTTGTCATTTTTCAGTGTACGTACCTAAGATGTACCTAATTTGGACTTAGTCATTTTTCAGTGTGCCTGAAATGTACCTACTTTGAACTTTTGAACTTTCAGTGTGCAAGAAATGTACCATGTTGGATTTAAATATTTTCCATTGTTTACTTTAATTAGAAGACTGGTTTTTTGAAGCATGGGGGGGGGGGGAGTAGTAACCACTTTTTATCATTTATATTTCTGAAATTATCATTCATTAATTTGTGCATTTAATTACATTATACTTCAGATTTCATATCATTAATGCAAGTATATACTTGTTTTGTTGTGGAAAGGAAAAATGGGGAGGGGTGTTAACATTGTTACACTCAAATGCCAAATATGTAATTATTAATTCAATTAATCTTCTTAAGGAAAATAAAAGTTAAAGATTCATTTCTGTTCTTACAATATGCCCCAGTTTGCCCTACAGAGTTCTTAGTAAGTTTGATTTACATTTTATGAGACAAAGGAGGGGTTTGTCTTATAAATACATGTCTAATAAAAACATCCCGGTCAAAGTGTCCCCTGATTTTAGTCAAAGCGCACCCTAATTTTGGTAAAAATGCCCCCTAACATATATTTATAGAAAAATACTGCCCCCAAATACTGGTCAAAGCGTCCCCTGATTTTGGTCAAAGAGCCCCCCCCCCCCCCCCCACACACACACACACACACACATATCTTTTTAGAAAATTTTTTACTGTCCCAAAGAAATGGTCAAAATGACTCCTGAATTCCTATAAAAATATATTAGGGGCGCCATGACCAAAATCGGGGGCGTTTTGACCATTGCTTGGGGACGGTTTCGAAACGATTTTTTTCTTTACAAAATATGTTAATTAGGGGCGTTTTGACCTACGGCTGATAGAACGTTTTTGGAAAGTTTTTCCCCCTAAATATAAATACATATAGGCAGGAAAACATTTCCAAAAAGCTTGTACAGAATTTATATTAATAAATACACCATGTACACCACAGAATAAGAAAGAACAATCCAAGGGATTTCATCCACAATAGCCTGATTCAATGAATTTGAATGCATAACATATGAATATTCCTGTAGTATGTAAGACCGGAATGCGTCCTCTCTTTTTTTTTTACCTTGACCTGTCCTTGAAGGGTTACCTCCCTTTGTTTTTAATCAATAAAATTTATTTTTTCAAAAATCTATCTGGTGAAAAATGATTTTTTTAATCGTTTTACTTTTCTTATTTTACCTTTACATGAAATAATGTTCATAAGGCCATTATACTTCATAAGATGTTATACATAAGGAAAACAATTTGAATGAAAATAAAAACAAATACACAAGAACATTAAGATCAAAATTATTTTGATGAAATTCAAATCTTTCAGTTCTCATAATGATAATAATATAAAGTTAATTTTCTAATCCATATGAAATAGTATTATTATGATTCAGTATAAAAGGTTTTCTTCGGGGGTCTTAAATGATAAAATTGAACAATCACAGAATAATAAAATAGTTTATCAACGTTTAAACAAGCGGCGTAATCTGCTCTGAAATCCAGTTTTCCCCTTCTTCTCGTTCTTCTCCTAAAAAATGAAAGGTATACAAAGCAGGCACGTAGCATCGTATTTGAAAGTGGGGGGGGGCCAACCAGAGAAAAATTTTTTTTCTTACCTGAAAATGTTGACAAGCAAAAAAAAAAAAAAAAAAAACCAAAGTTAAAAGTTGCCCAAACTCGAAAATCCTATTTGGTGGGGTGGGGGGGGGGGGGGGGGGTGGCCAACTTTTTCAAAGCCAACTTACTATCAATCACTTCCAATTTTTTTCCCTACAATCCTTCATATCACTATACTATGGTTATAAAGTGGGGGGGGCCAACCATCCTATCAATGAACATTTACTATAGTAAAGGTTATGTTGGGGAACAAAGTGGGGGGGGGGGGGGGCAGGCCCCCCTGCCCCCCCCCCCCCCCCCCGGGTGCTACGTCCCTGCAAAGTCAAATGTTTGTAAAAATCCTGAATTACATACTAGATCAAGTTTGTTAAATTCAGAATTCTCAAAGGGAAAAAATTTAAAATGAAATGAAAAGGAGTGGATGTTTACCTGCTTTTTCTGTGGTTTGCCACAACACAATAGCCTTCTCCAGCCTTTTGACTTAGGATCATTCTCCTATAAGTCAAAATTTATTCACATAATACAAATGTTGTGGGGTTTTTTGTTTAACTTTTAAAAACAATCAATAACTTCTGTTACAAACGCATTAATATGTCAAATACGTACCATTTCATTGCTGATATCTGGTTCTGGGAAAGTCGCAGTGCTATAAATAAAAGATAAAAAAAAATCACATAAATTATATTTTGGTTTTTTTCCTTCTACAATTATTAAAAATACTAAATATGTATATCATTTCACGTGATATGTGTACTATACAAGCTGCAATAGCAGCCAAATAGGAGATATACAAAGGAAATGATAGACAATAATTTTGTTTATTGTTTTTCAATCATTTTTTTCAAGCCACAGGCAGTAACAATAAACACATACATACCCAGGAATATCACAGTCAGGTGGAGCTCGAATCGTAGGATCAGGAACAGTTTTCTCTGGAGCTTTGCATGTACAATGGCTGTCAACGAAAAAAAGAATACGTGTAATCTCTATCATAGTCAAACTTGATTATCTTTAAATCCATTGCATAAAACTTATCGGAATATCCGAGCAATGATCATTAGGGTAAAAATATAAAGAAAAAATATGGCTGAGACAGTTAACTCACTTCAGCATATCTCTGATATTCAAGATATGGGTGATCGATATAACACAATTCGAGATAATGGATTCCAACTGTATATTTTATAGATGCATACGTAGATGCATCCCAATATTTTACGCAGAATATTTAAGGAGATTAATTACATTTAGTATGTATTTTAGATATTTACGTCCAGAGGATTTATATTTTAGAAGAATACACGTCAGCCTACAAATTACTTTTATACCTTTGGAATCATTTTCCTGTGGTCTTCAAGAGACCTCTGTGTCGCCATGCACGCTACTTCAGCACATGTTGCACGTCTGGTCGAAAAAGTGAGAGAGTAGTGGACAATCTCCGAGCCAATCATGACCTTGACCTACAGAAAGTTAAAAAAAAAACATCATTATTAGAGAAAATAATAGTCAGAGATGGTAGGACTAGTATACAAAATATAATATGAAATATATTATGTATTTGAAATAAATATCTCTGTTCAATAGATACCTTTTGTATTTTCAATTTCTGTGTGTTGTAATTTGCAAATCTGAATGGGAGAATAGCTGACTGTCCTTTGTCTGGGCTAAAAGCAAAAAAAAAAAAAAAAACAATATTTCAACATGCTTTGAAAATAATGCATCATAACAATATATATAATATTTCCATCTAAACATATATGCTTTGAAATGTTCTAATGTATATTGTTGGCTTAGAATGGCAAAAGAGAGATAACTTGATTTAAAGAATGTAACATGTTCAATTATAAATCATTTACCTTGCGGTAGCCTGTTTAGTTGCAAGTATTATTAAGTCCCGTACTGTTTCCCGAGCAACTCTGCGGAATATCTGTTGATTAATAATAAATTACAATTAATTCCATTGCGCTCTTCTGAACTCAAAGATTTTAAGGAGTAAATTGTGCTTTTTTTTTCCTTTGAGAAATTATTAAAGCAATGGTAAAGGAATTTTAGGCTTACAAATGTAAATCACTAATTGTAAAACTTTTATGTTCACATATCAACAGAGAGGATTTTACTTTGGTATATATTTTCAACTACAAACGATGTGTGCAGAAAAAAAAACTTTCGTAAAAATTTTGTCTCGCTGATAAAAAACGAAAAAAAAAATGTTGTAGCGAAAAATTGATGTCCTCTGCAGCATATTTATATTTTGTTATTCCTGTAAAGCACATTGCATTTACTCCAGTATCTTATGTAAACATTATTTCATATAAACATTATTTTTATACCTTCTTTGCTGTATTCTTTGCTCCTCGTACAAATCCCTTTGTGCTTTAATCCTTTCGTCTGAAGTTTGCAGTAGAACTGACTGTTCTTTGCCAACACTGAGAAAAATAAAGAAACAAATAACCTTATACATTTCCCGAACTATACACGATATTTTAGCATTGGCGTAATATGTTTAAAAGACGCATGTTAATAACAATAAAAACAATTTTAATGTCTTCATATATCACATACCTGTACTCGGTACCAGAAAAATTTCTGCAAACCCTGTCCAATACACCATCAAGGATGCTTTGCACTATCTAAAACCAAATTAAATGTAAAATGTATATGATTTTTGGCTCTGGCAGTAAATATACATTTTAAAGGTCATACAAGTTTTAATGAAAATACATGTATATGAAGCCATGCTATTTCTTACCATTTCTGATTCCTGGTAGTCAACGTCCCTGAGACTTTCGAATTCCCTCAGCTTGTCAGAGTTCTACGATAAAAATACAAAAAGTCAGTTAGACTCATTTATCTTATTATACTAGTCTATTTTAAATAAAAAAAAAGATTATATTAGGTCGGTTTAATTGTTAAAGTCAGTTAGACTCATTTATCTTATTATACTAGTCTATTTAAAAAAAAAAAATAGATTATATTAGGTCGGTTTAATTGTTAAAGGGTTAAATGAATGTTTTAAAACATTTAACATAACTTACCTCTGATGAACTGGCCATTATAATGTTCAACGAACAGTGAAAGACAATCAACAACTAAACGGTAACCAAGAATAATGCAAATAGCATTATGACGACTTTGATAATTGTGACGTCATTTTTATTATGACGTCAAACAATTGAAAAACTAAATATTTATGTCTCAATATAAACTCCATTTCTTCTGGTTATTTTTACAAAGAGAGCTCGTCTAAGTATTTATAATTTCTAAACTATAAGTATTTGATAAAGATTTAAAAAAAAAAAAAGAAAGAAAAAAAAAACCTACCTCTCCTCGTTTTACTTCCATTTTCCACACCAAAAATTCTAGACTGAATTTTCGCTGTGTGCACAAACACTGTGTCCACAACAAATGTCAACTAAAATCTGATTATGACGTTATTAGCTTTGTGACGTCAGTTGGACTATGATGCCATCCGCATTTGTACGAGAGAGAGAGAGAGAGAGAGAGAGCGCTTGCATTATTCTTTATCATGTTTCATAATGTTTTGTCGCCTTGTGTAAATCAAAGTATTCCATCAAGTTTTCCCCTTTTCCATGTTAATCAACCAGGCGGGTAAAATGAAGTTATGCACAAAAAATCCAAAATTATACATTTTGATTTATAATCATTATGTCAAATTTGATACTTGTAAATTTAGACAAGTTAAAATTGGCAGAATGTAATACATGTATTGGTAGAACTTTTGTGGCAATTTTCTATAGCTATATAGATTTCTCAAATTGTAAATGAAATATTAAATATCCCGCGTTGTCCAGAGCAAGTACAACATTTTAATTGATCGTGAATGTTTCACAGTGTGATACATGTAGTAATGTTAGCTAAGAACAAGAAAAAAAAGCCAATAGATCAAGTGGTGCAGTGTACGTCTAGTTATTGAATTGAATTTTTTTTTCTTTTTCTCTTCTTTTAAATAATTATATTTTTTCATTTATTTATTTTATTAAGATAAAAAATATCATACACAGGTTTGGTTGGATTTTTTTAATTTAATCAGCACAAAAATTTTAGAGGTAATAAAACTAATATCAGGGACTTAAATATACTATAGTATATGGTTATATCAACTTCGTACTTTGGTTCACAAGTTATGCCTTGAAGGCAACATTTAAGACCTCATGACATTTAAAGAATGCTGGATCCTCCACTATAAATCCCTTAACCTTTCCGGAACTTTTTTTTTTACTTTTATACACACCGGATGTAAATATTGCATTACTTCCCTTACTGAGAGTAGCACGTGTGGATGATTTCATTCCTGTCAAAATGGGTAAAGCTGCAAAATCAAAACGAAAGGGAGAGAATAAGGTTAAAATGATGGTTGTTCCGTGGAGAGACAAGTAATTAGTATTTGATTTATCTATGTTTGATATTTTTTGTTTGTGTATACGACTGCAAATGAACGTTTTATTTATCATATTTATGCACAACACACTTGACGCACTAGCACATGGACAGCGGATAGAGCGTATTTCGAAAGTTTTCTCTTAAATATAAATACATACAGGCAGGAAAAAAATTCCAAAAAGCTTGCACATAATTCAAATTCATAAATCTACCACTTTATAAGAAAATTTTCTGAACAATCAATTTGTTTCTTTCAGAGAAGAATTTCGGCAAGTGTATGCTGGTGTATTTTCTGAGGATCTAGAGCCCAAGCAGAGAGCAATGGCGAAGATGACTACATGGCAAAGCAGGTATATATATAAAATATAAAACTGCATATCTGAAGGCCACTTTTCTGAAATTAGTGAATGTTTCTGGATTTATTTCACTGTTTACTCACAGGGGCATCTTATCCACTCTGTTCTCTACTTCACATATAAAAATACACAAGGGAAGAATCGAAAGTAGCACACGATTTTTAAAAAAAGTCAAAAAACAACTTACTTGAGAAAAGTTACACAAATCCTGAAAGGAACTAGCGCAAATAATGTCCTAGTACTTATCCAGGCTAAAATATTCCAGACATATCCATCGAAAATAGCTTTTATCCAACTAAAACCCCAGCTTTCTGCACAGTGTGAAACTCTTCGCCCAAGAAAAGATAACTCACCCGGATGACAATAGGGTAGTACCCGAAGTCTTCCAATGGCACTCGGAAGGCCTCGGGTACTACCCTATTGTCATCCGGGTGAGTTATCTTTTCTTGGGCGAAGAGTTTCACACTGTGCAGAAAGCTGGGGTTTTAGTTGGATAAAAGCTATTTTCGATGGATATGTCTGAAATATTTTAGCCTGGATAAGTACTAGGACATTATTTGCGCTAGTTCCTTTCAGGATTTGTGTAACTTTTCTCAAGTAAGTTGTTTTTTGACTTTTTTTAAAAATCGTGTGCTACTTTCGATTCTTCCCTTGTGTATTTTTATATGTGAAGTAGAGAACAGAGTGGATAAGATGCCCCTGTGGTTTACTGTAGTAAAATTGGGTGATTTCTCCAGTGTTTTCCCTTTATTTCAAAATAAAAGGTTAGAGATCAGTTGTAACAGGCTATGGGCTGAGGTTTATGAATAAAATCTCTGTGGACCTTGCATCAAACTTTTATTTAAAGCGGCATTTTTGTTAATCAAAGCGGTCAATTTGGCCGATAGCCGGTTCTTTGGGAAAACACTTTTTACTATGGATAATGTCGCCTACCTTAGTATAAGGTGACGACTAACACCCAGGTTTACATTGTGGGTAAACACAGGTAACTTACAACAAGGAAAACGTGGTGAAGGGTTTGACTGGTAAAACTTGACTGATGAGGGAAACGTGCCAGCACAGATGGATGGCTATGAGGTTAGGTGAAAAGTCATAGTGGACATGTTTACATATACAATTTCACTACAATACACTGTATTTGAAAATTTTTCTGATCATTTGTTCATAACATATTCTTTTTACTTATTCCTCAATAACAATACATGTTCAAGTCATGCAAGAAGTGTTAAAGGGGCATAGACACAGTTTCAGGTAAAAAATTTCCATTTTTTTTTTCCATTTTATCAAATATTTAAGAATGGTCTTTCTAATGATCATCAAAAAGTTGAACTTTTAGTTGTTGAGATAAAAGGCAGATTTAGAGCTCCAAATTTTTGTTACGTAAAGATTAATATTCTAATATATGTCATTCAAAGCAGCTAATTTCAATACGCCAGTTTCGAGATTGTAACTCTTTTACGATAGAGGCGCAAAAAGTATCCATTTCAGCAGGGAGGTGGGACAGGTTGTTTCTGAATACAAACGTGCATAAATAAATGAACGATATTTATGGCTTTTAAAATTTATTAAATGTTATAAAAAGATAAAGATTTTTAGCAGTGATGCATTTGATGATTTTATTAAGTTCAACTATGCATATTTACAAATCTGCTTTGAATTATAGGTACTTGAAAACGAAAGAAACGCCGTTGTCTTAATAAAAAGGAACCGATTTTCTTGATTGTACAAACTAATAAAAAAAAGTTTGTGAAAAGAATCAATGTGTCATTAAGATCGCCTACGTACAATGATCAGATGCATGTGTATCATTTTTATTAGAGATCCAAATTTCTTCCCTTATCTGAAAAGTCTCACATCCACCGACATTTTCTTTTTTTGTTATGATTTTTTTGCTTTAAAAAATTACGTCTTTAAATTAATTCGGTTATTCTCGGAATGTAGAGTGCATCATGACAATCATGTAGTTATGATAAATCAGTATATCGATGATACAATGTATCCAATATATATAAATATCAAATATTTGTCCCACCTGTTTGTTTACACGGCAACGAAACTACCATCCTCAACGAAAGAGCGCACAAAGGGAGATAATCTCGAAACTGGCGTATTAAGAAGTTAATTCTAAATACAATTAGACAGTTTCTAATGATTTGCTGAATTTCATTTTGTTATAAATAAGATATGTTCTATATGTAAACGAAAACAAGGCACGAGCCCTGTTTACATTTTGAAGAACTTTAAGTTCTGTATCCCGTTAAATGTTTATCAATAAATGATGTTCAAATTTTTGTCGATCATTAGATGATTCCTTATTAGGGATTGTTAGCATTAAAACTGTGTCCATGTCTCTTTAATATTGACTTGCCACCAAAACTGAAAGATTAAAAAAAAAAGAAAAATTTGTTTTTTGTTTTAAGGACAGATGATACAAACAAAAAATGGTTGCCTGGATTGGTATATATTTTTTTGTCTAATTTCATTGCAAAGGATACAAATAACAAATTTCTAGAATATGTAGAAATTGTATTAACCTTCTCTGATGTTCATAAGTCTGCCCTTCTGAACCCATCCTTATTAATCTATACAAATATTTTTCGCTTCAAATCCCATTTTTGTGAAATTTTGGATAAAAAATTAAAAACTACACGGTGAAACTTTTTCATTTTAATCACTTAAACATGACCCAAGTTGTTATTTTCAAATTTTTTGACATAATTAAGTTTGTTTGTATCATCTGTCCTTAATATTAGTCCCATTCGGGCTTAAACAGTTTGGGGTTCGAACATGGATATCTCAAATACCATGGATAATGTCTATTAGTAAGTGATTGGGAATTTCTTACCAAGTATTTCTCTAATATTTCAAACCCTCAGATGTTCTTAAGTTTTTTCTTGATCCCCTCGAGTTTTAGAGATAAAGAAGTTTGACTTGACTTTTTCCATGGGTTTCACTGTATCTTTCAGGTAGTAAAGTTTTATAGTAAAGTTTCATAGTCTGATGGATTGGTTAATTGTCATGAAAGCCTCACTTCAAAGTGACAATCAATTTCATGAAAAAAAAAAATCATATTGAATATTCAGTGTTCTACTGTAAACACATGGTAAATCTGGAAATTTCTACGTCGATTTTATTTTGCAAATCTGGGTCAAAATACTGTAGATTAATTTTTACGTTTCAAAATTTTGCGAAAGACCACTACTTTGTTTTCATTTTCTTATTGTTGAATTATTTTTTAAGAAAAATATTTTTGCAAATGCACTGAACTTGCAAATTTGCTAAAAATTTATCTACAGCAAAAATTTCCAGATTAACGGTATGGAACGAATCCTACTAGGGCATCCATACCATAGTCAAATCAAGCAGAAAAAATAGAGATTGCTGAAACTTCTTGCTGTTCAAGTTTGGCATGTATAAGTCATTTTCATAATACTTATTTATTTTTACAGGGCGCTTAATAAGTTGCCAATTGCTATTGAAAGTACCATGGCATTGTGTAGAGCATGCATCTCTCATCAGCTTGCCATGCAAGAAGGAACCGTCCACGAAAATCACTTAAAGCTGGTGTATGAATACAGCATGGGTATTATTAGGTCAGTAATCAAATTGGGAAATTTTTTTTTTTTTAAATTCCCAAATGTCATGTAATTTGTAAATCATTTTTAAGGACAAATATCAAATTGATATACATTTTTATACTTTTGACTGGAGCAAATTATGTATCATTTCATTTTATTAGTAGATACATAAAGTTAAATTTATAATTAAAATTAAACAGAAAATATTTCTCCCCAAATGCAATCCAGAGACAATATCTTTTACATCTGAGATGTAAGTCATCTCCTGCAGTAAAACTTATCCCCGGTAACTGTTTTGAATTTGTTTTTCTTATTTTAGATTTGTAAACAACATAACAGAACTAGGGCAGACTGGGAGAGTTAGAATGGCAGTCCACACTATAGCTGGAAATGTATGTAGGAATGATATATAAAACATCAGACTATATTCTTTAATTTGAATGCAAAAATCATCTCCTAAAGTTTCAAGTTGATAGTATCTACTCTAAGTTCACGATGTTACATTTATATTATCTTTCAAGTTTGCTGTCTAAGAAACATAAAATTTCACTACAGTCTTTTAAACATGTTAAACACACTGAATATTTTATGCACTTGACTTGAGACTGTATCTTTACCTTTGATAGTTTGGTATCCCTAACTGGATCGTGGAGATGAGACACAGTGCCACACATAGAACCATGCCTTCCCTGTCAGAGCTTACCGCCGGCACAGACTGGGTGTTAGAGTGGCTCAAGGTACAGGGCATAATTAACAACAAAATGTCTTAATCATGGAATTTCCATACAGTAATGGCATTTTCTTGCATGCATTCTGAAAACCCGTATAGTAAAGGGTTTTAGAGTATTACTTGATCTTTCGGTCTCAAATAGCTATGGAAGTGGTACTATAGCTGGCTATTTTTATTGGTGAAAATTTTATTTTTGAATCATTTATATTTGTACTAATGTTTTTAAAAAAATTGGTGGGGGTATGTGGTGGATTTTGATATTTAAATATTTTTTTTCAAAATCACATATTTTCAAGGGGTCAAATTTTCATGGTTTGAGGAAAATATATTAGTTCGTGGGGATTTGATTTCGTGGTTGAAGAATTGTTCAGTAGAAATATATGTGAAAAATTGCATTTCCTGTTGGCAATAAAGAGATAGGTTTAGGTACTCCATAAAATGGCCCTGTCAATATACCAATTCACCGACCAAGTCCTTACGTCCTATTTCAATCATCAACATAAAGTAGAGACTTAGTGCTTTCATTACCTATAAAAAAAAATTTGCTCTGAGAGTCCAAGTTTTGAAACTCGGGCGTTGTGAATTATGTGAAACTGTAATGTTCTTGATTTTTTAAGAAAATGGGTGAAATTGAGCATCTTCAACTTTTGATAAAAATATGAGCCCACCCCACGATCCAAAAATTCTTTCATGGATTAGAATCTTCTGAAACAGTTCTTTCATCATATAATTCAACATTTTAGATCAGAGGTTGGGGGCTATGCAAAATATTAAAAAACAGCTTAAATTTTCGGTCATTTTTAACAAAATATTCAAGATTTGAGGAAAATGACGAAATTCATGACATCATAATACATGTACATAGACAAGAAATAAAATTACGTCAATTTTATTTGATATGAAGTCACCAAGAGTCTAAGTAAAATATAACATATTTTCAACTAAAACTAAGTGGTTCTGATTTTTCAGAAATTCACAGGGCCAAAAATGGACCGATGTGAACTTTGTTCTTTGTTGGTCTCTTAATTGTAACCTTGAAAACCACGAAAATTAAACCTCCACGAAAATTAGTGATTTCACAGAAAGCAAAGAATTGGTCATAATGAAATTTTGAATTTTTTATACAATATATATAGTAAATTCAAATATGCAAATGAATAATATACTGAATCCAGGGCGAAATTGCCTTGTCAAGCAGGTACACAAATACCTTTAGAATATTTTTTGTGTGTACATGTAATCATGATTCATTGGGAACTCTTTTAATTTGCAGTGCCTTTGTTTTAAATTAAATCACTATCATAATGTAATTAATTTCTATTTTTAAGATTCTTGCATATAGGATTGATGATGTTTTTATTAATATAAACGTTTTCCAATCTATTATTGCTCATTAAACCTTGTTTGGAGTTTGATTTTTTCATACACGTTCTTCATTTCATTTTCTCGTACAGGAGGATTTCTGGGATGCACAGTTAAAAATCATGGAGACGATCAAACCTAAAAAATCATTTGATTTGGAAGAAGACAGGGAATTTGTGGACAACATTATCAAAAAATACATGGCAGATACTCTCAAAGTAAGATCATTTTTCAGGAGGGGTAACTCTTACACGTAATTTAGACTCAATGTAATGCAGACATTTAACAGATTTGCATCCCTTTGATCAGTTTGTGGGGAATAATGATATGTAAGTCTCATTACTGATGGAATGTACTTGTAATTAATCAAGCAAGTTTGACAAGATTAAAATTTGTACAATAATTAAATGTAATTTGGAGAGGGAGGTTCAAAATACTAAAAATATTATTGCAGATAAAGTAAATTAATATCAATTATTTTGATCCCTCATTTTGAAGGCTTATTAAGGTCTATAATTTATATAAGTTTAAAGGGACCTATTATATGTTTATGCCTTAAACTAATGAGTAAGGAAAATAATGAACCTGGGTAGCGCCAGGTTCCAGAGTTTAGTCTCTGAGTAATTTGTGCAAGGGCACAGGTCGCCCCCACGGTGACCCGCTTACTTCCGCGGGATGCCTGGGTAGTTGTGATCTGCCTGTCCGAAAAATTCAATTTAATGTCAGTGAAACATGAAACAAAGATGATGCATTTCCATGTACATGAAAACTGAAATATTTTTAAAGAAATAGCACTTGTCTGCAGGTATTTATATTTTCCATATCACTTTTAATTACCAGGCTGCTAAAATTGCTTTTTTATTTAAAACAATGTTGACAAAGGAATATGATTTTTTTTAAGGCCATCAGAACAGGAGATAAAAGTGTCAATTGTTACAGTGATTTACTCAGACTACTAGAGCGACATAAGTAAGTTTGCCTCATATAGGCATAAATATTAAGAAGACCTATTCTCACTCAGTTCAGTAGTAAAGGAGTCCATATTTTCTATGTCATAACTCTCTTTTGAGCTAAATATTAAGTTTTACATACAATGGATTGTTCCTGAGTGTTTACATTTAAACTTACATGGTATGTATATGTACCTTAAATCAGGAGTAAACTTTAATTTTTGAAATGTTATGTTGCTTAAGTTATTTTATGAATTTTTCAGGTCCAGGATGCTGTGTTGCATATTCAAGAAGGGTCACTTCATACCAACTAATGCACAATTAAGAGAGTTAAACATTAACAAAAGGGGCAAGTTTTCAACCTGTTTTGTAATTGTCGAAATATAAGGTTGAGGTTCTCATTATTTTAAGAACTACCAACTTCTGTATTTTTTACACAATTGTCAACATGCAAAAGTTGTTGAAATTTAAATAAGTATTCATTCTAATTACAGAGCTAATGAGGTCACCCCAATTAAAGATACCTGACATCTTGGGGCGACTGTGGGGCCCATTACTGAACATCTTACACAGAATGAAATTGACCTCTGCCCTGGTACAGTTGATGGTTACCATGGTAACCGACACAGAAAACTTCCAGAATTTCTTTTTATGTAGTTGGTTACAAAGGATCATCAGTTCTAACTCCATGAGCGGAAATTATGAAGAACGTGAGATTAAGGCCATAATAAAAATATTCCTAGATTCTCATCCGATTTTTTTCCCCCGCCTCAATTTTTTTTATTTCTGTTTTTCTTCGTCTTTATTCTGATCGGGATCGGTATTCAACTACCACTCAACTTTCATTTTAAATCCGGCGAATGTCGGCATGATTTTGATAGCTGAAAAGATGGTAATTGCTGTAATACATATTAAATAAGGGTCATTGATTGTGAAAGATTGGTGATTATGTGAAGTATGAGATAACTGGACCTCTACTATGACTTTTATTCCGGTATTATAGATAAATCTGCACTGATTGGCCCGGGTTCAATAAAAAATCTGCAAAATGGAAAAATAAAAAATATAAAATAAAAGCCGCCCGCCCGCCTCGATTTTTAAAAAAATTCGGATAAGAATCTAGGAATTTTTTTATTTAGGCCTAATATTGACATATTCAGTGTTCACAATATTTATTTTAAGATTTCTTTTATACAAATATTAAGCTGATTAAATCTAGCACTAAAAATAAATATGATTTCAAAAAAGAGACATTTTTTGATGGGAGATACCATGGAATTTGTATATCAATAGGAAAACGGTCAGAGTCTCAGGGGCAAAAAATTCAAAATACTCAGATTTTGAGTACTATAAGCAACTGAAAATTCTAATGTTTTGTAATGCATTACAATACTTCTATTTGAAATTGGTAAAATTTCACTGTACAAGAGCTACTAGGAAATTAGTGAGACATTTAGCCTAACTTAAGTGAAGGAGGAGGTGAATTCATGAATTTTTTTAAACGAACATAATCATCATTAAGCCCGGATGATATTATAAACTCATATATGTATGTCTATTTACCTGGAGCACTCCACAGAGATGCTAATCCAACACAGCTTTATTGTTACTTAAGCATGTTTTTTTTTCTTCAATTGAAATGATTGGAAAACATTAACTCTTCTTTTTTTGTCATTGTATGTTAACGTTATAAGAATGAAGTCAGAAAAAAATTCCTTCCATTCCTAAAATTACTTCAGTCTGGAAAAAATCATTCAATCATGACAACTATCAAAATCCTATATGATACACTTTACCATGGCACTGTGTTTGAATTACTAGTCCCGTGGTCTGCACAGGAGTTTCCTAAGCTCCTCACAAGATTTAATGTATACCAGCTATTCGTCCTTTACATCAAAATTCATTTTGACATCATAATGATATTTCTGTTGCCTAATGAAATACTTTGCCATGAAACTGGCATTTTAATTAAGATTGTTTGAACTTGCACAAAATAAAATTGAAATGATAGAAATAATTTATCAACTTAATCTGGGTACTCCAGGATTGAACATGATTTTTTACTGTACCAGGTACTCCTACCATAACAATACTTGATATCGCGATTACTTAACTTAGCGGAACTCTTTCGCGAAGGAGGTAGGAATCGTCTGTTGGGTGGGGGCAATGTGCTTTTCAATACAATGCAAGATCGATCATTGTAGCATTTATAAGGACAATAAAAAAAATCCTGGGGGAATACCTCGTTAAACAATCGCTAAACCAGCCTTATATATTTTTGAGAGGAGCCAATCCTAAATTGTCACATTTTTAACGATATTTTTAATTAAGCGGACTCTTCTCGTTAAATTTTCTTTGAAAATCGTCACATTTTTAAGCAGATAAAATATTCTAAACTTTCCTTATTTGACAATCTACCATTTAGAGTTCAATATCTGGCAAAACATCGTGATTTTGGCATTAAATTGTTCGAATCATTCGATTGTCACTACTGTAAACAATGTCATTTGCCCCCAGAAATGTAGACTTTTCTCGACTCCCCAGCAAAAGAGCGGTAGTAAGTTAGATAACTGCGCGGTACTCATTGGTAGTCGCGATATAACGTATTAATATACTATTTATTGAAAAAAAAATTAGAGTAGAAAGAAAAATAAATAAAATTTCTTTTTAATTTCATAACAGCCCTTATATTTGCAAAAATGAGATTCTCTTAAATTCAAAATAAGTACTAACTCTAAATAAAACACTTTTTGTGAATTTAGGAAATCTGAAAGCAAGCAAAAGGAAGCTTTATAAATACAGGCGACACATTCCTCATAGACTACTCCTGGAAAAACTACTGCGACAGCCCAGCATCTACACACAAGTCATCATCAAACTGTAAGTCATGTCAACACCCAAGTATCTACACACAAGTCATCATCAAACTGTAAGTCATGTCAACACCCAAGTATCTACACACAGGTTATCATCAAACATAAAGTCATGTAAACATCCTACTGTCTAAACACAAGCAAAATCAAAGAATTGTGGTTCTCCGCTTTCGTTGTCTTTGTGGGTGAGATGTCAAATATGAAGGCCTATCATATGTCATTTAGAAATTATCACCAAAGTTGAATTTTTTAAGAAATAACTTCAATCTTGAAGGCCAAAGTCAAGGAGTCAGAAATCATAGCATGCTTGGAAATATCTTGTCACAGGTACTGCACATGTCAAATATGAAAGCACTATCTCTTCTCAATCAAAAGTTAAATGGAACAAGATGCATTTGAGAAACACTTATGACCCCATATCGCAACAAAGCAAAGATAAAATTTTTCTTAAGTGCAAATTAAATATATTGGTACCCAAATTTTAAAAAGTAAGTCAAACTCCAAGGTCAAGGTGAAATGGTCAAAGTTCTTGGTATCCAATGAAAGGTCTTCTCACAAGGATGATTTATGTGAAGTATGAAAGCCCTAGCCCTTACCATTCAAAAGTAATGGCCAAGGTAAAAGTTTGTATAAAGTAGGTCAAACTCCAAGGTCAAGGTCAAAGTTGTTGATATCCAATGAAAGGTCTTGTCACAAGGAATAAATATGTAAAGTATGAAAGCCCTAACCCTTCAAAAGTTATGGTCAAGGTTTTTTTTTTAAAGTAGGTCAAACTCAAAGGTCAAGGTCAGAAGGTCAAATATCTTGTTATCCAATGAAAGGTCTTGTCACAAGGAATAAATATGTTAAGTATGAAAGCTCTAGCCCTTACTGTTTAAAACTTATGGCCAAGGTTTAAGTTTTTAAAAAGAAGGTCAAACTCCAATGTAAAGGTCAAAGGGTCTTTGTGCTTGATACCCAATGAAAGGTTTTGTCACAAGGATTACATATGTGAAGTATGAAAGCCCTAGACCTTACCGTTTTAAAGTTATGGCCACAGTTAAAGTATTTTCATAAGTACAGAAATCTCCAAGGTCAAGGTCAAAATATCAAAGTTGCTGATATCCAATAAAGGTCTTGCCACAAAGAATACATATGTGAAATATAAAAGTCCTAGTATCTACCACTCAAAAGTGTTACAGCCAAAGGAAAAATTTAAATATTTTGTGATAAAGTGTGTCAAACTCCAAGTCAAGGTCAAAAGGTCAAATTTGGTGGTACGCAAAGAAAGGTCTTATCACAAGGAATACACATATGAAATATGAAAGTCATAGCTCCACTAAATCAAAAGTTATGGGCAAGGTTAAAGTTTTTGTGACAGACGGACAGCTAGACAGACTGACAGACAGACGAATGAGATTTAATGTCCCCTCGCTTTTGCAAATGCGGGGTACAATAAGTCAAATCAACACCCCGGTAACTATACACAAGTCATCATAAAATTGTAAGTCATGTCAACACCCCAGTATCTACACACACGTCATGTCAACACCCTAGTATCTACACATAAGTCATGTCAACAACCCAGTATCTACACACAAGTCATCATCAAACTGTAAGTCATGTCAACACCCCAGTATCTAAAACAAGTCATGTCAACACCCCAGTATCTACACATAAGTCATCTCAACACCCCAGTATCTACACATAATTCATGTCAACACCCCAGTATCTACACATAAGTCATGTCAGCAACCCAGTATCTACACACAAGTCATGTCAACAACCCAGTATCTACACACAAGTCATGTCAACACCCCAGTATCTACACAAAAGTCATGTCAACAACCCAGTATCTACACACAAGTCATCATCAAACTGTAAGTCATGTCAACAACCCAGTATCTATACACAAGTCATCATCAAACTGTAAGTCATGTCAACAACCCAGTATCTACACACAAGTCATGTCAACACCCCAGTATCTACACATAAGTCATGTCAACAACCCAGTATCTACACACAAGTTATCATCAAACTGTAAGTCATGTCAACAACCCAGTATCTACACACAAGTCATCATCAAACTGTAAGTCATGTCAACAACCCAGTATCTACACACAAGTCATGTCAACAACCCAGTATCTACACACAAGTCATCATCAAACTGTAAGTCATGTCAACAACCCAGTATCTACACACAAGTCATGTCAACACCCCAGTATCTACACACAAGTCATCATCAAACTGTGAGTCATGTCAGCATCCCAGTATCTACACACAAGTCATCATCAAACTGTAAGTCATGTCAACAACCCAGTATCTACACACAAGTCATGTCAACACCCCAGTATCTACACACAAGTCATGTCAACACTGCAGTATCTACACATAAGTCATGTCAACAACCCAGTATCTACACACAAGTCATGTCAACACACACACACAAGTCATCATCAAACTGTAAGTCAAACAACCCAGTATCTACACACAAGTCATCATCAAACTGTAAGTCATGTCAACAACCCAGTATCTACACACAAGTCACACACACACACAAGTCATGTCAATGCCCAAGTATCTACACACAAGTCATCATTAAACTGTGAGTCATGTCAGCATCCCAGTATCTACACATAGGATGTAATATTATAGGGTTATTGAACTTATATTGGTGAATATTGGCACAAGTTGGCTGTTCAAATGCACAAGCTTCCGAGTGCATTTGAACAGCTAACGAATGCCAATATTCACCAATATAAGTTCAATAACTCCTTTATTATATAGTTTAAACATTTCCATGTACAATGATTATTCAAGCTAAACAAAAAAGCAAATTGATGATTTTTTAATATTGGTATTCAAATTATCGTCTGTCCTGTAAGCGTTCAATATCGCATCATTCGGATGACCCTACCGAGCGATATGATTTGCTTATTTAGGTTTTAATGGGTATAATACCTACTAATTTTTAGCTCTACTGGTTAGAGACCAGAAGAGCTTATGCGATAGTAAGGTGTCTGTCTGTCTAGCTGTCCTTCTTTCTTTAAACAATTTTTCAAAACGCTACTCCTCCTACAGTTTTGGTCTGATTTTAATATAACTTGGCACACAAGTAGACTACACTAAGATACATAAAATAGTGCTTCAATTTTTGATTTCGATGAACAGTGTTAACGTTGCCATGGTTACTAAAAATAGAATTTTCTGTGAAATTCCTTTAAAACACTACTTCTTCTACAGTTTTGGTCTGATTTCAATATTACTTGGCACACAGGTAGACTACACTAAGATACATAAGATTGTGCATCAGTTTTTGATTTCGATGAACAATGTTGCCATGGTTAGTAAAAATAGAATTTTCTGTGAAATTCCTTTAAAATGCTACTCCTCCTACAGTTTTGATATAATTTCTATATAACTTGGAACACAAGTAGACTACACTAAGATACACAAAATAATGCATCGGTTTTTGATTTCGATGAACGGTGTTGCCATGGTTACTAAAAATAGAATTTTCTGTGAAATTCCTTTAAAACGTCACTCCTTCTACAGTTTTGGTCTGATGGAAATGGCTTCTTTTCTCATCCTTTGTTATAAGTACAAACCAGTAATTTTTTTGTTTACAACAGGTATTCGGAATGTTTTAGGCATACTCATGACATACATGTTAATTCCTAATACAAAGTCATTGCTCAATAAAATGTCAAGATATTGAATGCTAAAATTCCCTAGATTTTCGGTAGTATTTTATTAGAGACTATTTATGAGCTATATAATAAACAAGAAAAATTGAACTTAAATTTAGTCAAATAATTTGGATATCAGCACTTGCCTCCTGCTGTGTCTGCAAGCTGTGGGTCAGACTTGTTTCTCAATTATCAAATATTTAAGTTTATGTAAGTTGAAATATCATCATAGCAAATCTTTCCATGGTCTCTTGATACATGTATTTGTTTTATTTAAGCTGTCCTATAACCAAAGTTCTGAACTCTCTCTTCAAAATCAAGAAAGCATATGCAAGCTACAAGACCTACATTTGTTTTAATGAAAATTTTCACTATTGTTCCAGATTACTCCCCCTACAAACTCCAGCCATTACCCCAGCAACCAAGAAGAAAATTTACAAAATTTTAGATGTCGTTTGTGGAAAATCTTCACAGAATGATTTATTAAGTGAAAATGCAACACCAATTCATTCCATTATAGGTAGGTCCATTGTCCAACAACATAATGTGTATTTTACTTGAAAACTAAAATAATTTGATATTGAATATTATTAGATATACATGTATATACTTATTACAAATTACCTGTACAAATTTGTATTTGCTAGTTTATCACATGTGATGTTATTTTATATTAGATGTTGACAAGTCTGTGATAGGCTCTGAGGGTGAGGAGAGTTTAGCCCCGGGCGGAGATTTTCAGCATCAGGCCCAGCGGTTTAATCAGTCTCCGTGGACCAGAGATCAAGGTAGCATCACAACACTGTAAAAATACTTTTTTCCACTAGGTCAGTTATCCATGGAATCACAATATCTGTTCAATCCACTGATAGAAAATTATGCAGATTTCATGGCTTTTCACTGTGTGTTTTAAATGCACTGTAACTACATCGGCCTAGCTGATAAATATTTGCCAAAATTGGTTATCAAGTATACATAGCTTGAATTAGTACCATGAAGAGAAATGTTTGTATACGTTACCAAGACTATGGAAAAAGGCAGATGTTTTAAAAAATTTCAAGCTTGGTAGATGGTTAAGGGAAAATACATGTACTTAGCTATGAAATTATTTCCACCCCTGACACAGATTTACCAGTCTGTCTGTCTGTCTGTTGTAGATATCCTGAACTGGGAGCGGATTCCCCTGGGGTCTCTGGATATGGTCCAAGGGCAGATAACTCCCATCTCTGGTGATGAATCTCAGGAGGAGAATCCAGATGAGGAAGATTTTCCAGATAAAGATGACTTATATCCTGATCCTTATGGCGTGAAATTGTAAGGTCATGCTTATTTCAGATAAAGATTATCTTTATAACATTAATATAAAAAGTATGTGATTTTACATGGTCTGCCAAGTGTGTAGTTATTCAGCTTTATAGTTTAATATCAGCAGAGAGGATATTTGCTTATTTAATACGTGTGTATCTATCTATACAAATACATATCCAATCTGATGTTTAATTATCTAGGTACACTCAATAATGTTTTAGAAAAAAATCATGGAAAGATTCTTTATGTTTTTTTTATTTCTCCAATTCAATTGATTTTATGCACATTTTTATTATTTTAAAGCTTTTTTATACATTTCAGCAAGCAATACATGGAAACATCAAATGAGGAGGAGAATGGTCTTCAAAATAAAAGCAAGATATGGACGGATGAAGACATCAACATAATTAAACAAACAATGGACCTGATTTAGAATTTGTCAAATTCAGAAATGTTTTAATTTTCTGAATGTCATTCCAATGATGCAAAAGTGTTCCTATAACTGTTTAATGCCTGCCTGCTAGCAGAGGGTCTGTGCCATTTTATTTTCCAGGTTATATTATCTTTGTTTATAATAATGATAACATGACATGAAAATTGTCCATAAAAAATTGTTTAGATGTTAAAATCATGTTGTTAAGAGTCTTTATTACTTTTTTTCATCATTTATATGACATATCTTTACTCTCTCAAGTTGTTCCTCTCAATATATGTATGTAGGAATCCAAAGTGCAATGGTCTGCACCCTACCCCGTTGTTCTGACACACCTGGTCCACAGTCCGATGGTGCCAAAAAACAAATGACGTTTGTAATGTCATAGTACCCCTGCACAAAATTGTGATCCTGCACCAATATGAATAAATACAATCAAATATCATATGCAAAGATTCACCCTAATTTCTCAGATAGGTGTGAAACTAGCCCTAATCAACTGAAAAGTGTGTAACAACTATAACCTAGAAAATCTTGGGTAGTTGCAAGCCTAACCATAATTATATAATTACATGTAGTTGAATAGTGTGCAAGGACTAAACTTAAAATTCTTGGGTTGTTAATTCAATATGCTATTCTAGTGCCTAAGTACTATACCTAGCCAGTCAAGTGGTGACTGTGAGCTAGTGGGTGCAAAATCAGTAAAATTGTATGCCAGGATGAATACCAAGGAACTATATGCAGTATATTGCATATGTTTGCCCCCACAAAAGTCAAATTTTGAAAACTTCCTGAAATGTGCTGAATTCAATAAATTGTTATATTAACAGAAAATATTATAGTTCCAGAGCAGTGTATTCACAATTTCTGTTTTTAGTCACAAACAAGTCCGATTTTATATCCTTTTTCAGTGGACAAAATTTTAACAATTTAAGCTTTAAAATTTATAGAGCTGTGTGTTCAGGAACAATATTGACATATTTCATTGATATTATCATTCTACACATTATATCAAAATATTTATCCTGAACACACATGCGCTCGGTGACTTTTATTTAAAATATCGACGAAATATGTACATTTTTCTGCAAAATTCATAAAAACTGAAATTACGTCATATTTGTGACGTCATTACGTACATATGACGTCAATACTTATGAAATTATTCAGTGCATTGAAGTCAGCATATATTCCCCTGTTTAAGGACTTAATTAAATATTACTCCATCAAAGTTTGATTTTGGGGGGCAAATGTTGGTTAATACCATATATTCTTTATGTCTTTTGAATGCAGGACAGTGATGTATAGGATTGACATCGGAATATTTTGAGCTCAGAAACATTGATTGTTTCTCTACACGTTCAGACCTTAGCCTGTCAGACTATCACACTTTAGTGCAGCATGTCTCTTGGGAAAGAGCCATCTGTATTTGGCATCAGTATTGACATCAAACCAATGTCAGTGATTGGCCCGGATCATTGGACTTAAGCGAGACCATTGGACTTTGGAGTCTTACATATAAATTACGAAGTGTCATACAAAAAACTTCAAAAATAGGATTGTGGATTAAAAGCTGAAGTCATAACATATAATTCTCATTCTGTTTGTAATACAGGTTACATTGTAGCTACATTGTATAAGTGACCATCATAATCTCAAACACATAGCATTGAGGGGGGAGGGGGGGGCTTTTTTCCACACAACTCTTCACTATTGAAAATGTAACTTGAAAGGCTTGTGCCCCCTCCCCACACACATACTTTTTGTTGCAAATTTTCAATGTTTCAAATAAAAATAATGTATAAAAATGTAATGAAAATTTCGCCCCCCCCCCCCCCCCCCCCCTGCACGAAATGGATTTACAGATGTGATAGTCTGTATTGTCATTTACTTTATTTCGAGTTCACTTGGATATATCAAGTTGAAATATAAATGAAAGTACCCGTAATTTATTATTAATTGACAAAACTTCATCAGTATACATCTAAATGTTTATTTGAAGGCAATAGCAAGTTTTCCTTTTTCTTCCCAGGTTGAAATATTTGAATAAATTCTGCGTAATAAGTATATAAAAACAAGTCTTCTTAGTTAAGGAGCACAGTTTGTTCCAATCGGAATTCCGACAAATTGCTGGAAGACTGGACCCGAAAGATTACATAAATATCTTGAGAACAGCTTCAGAGTGCTTTTCTGTAGAAATTATTTTTAACAAAGTAATTTGGAAATGATCAATAAAAATTGAAAGATATAGCAAAATACATGTAATTATTAATCGAAATATCTTGCGCATCAAATAAGTTTTGAGAATTGCATCAGCTTTCGTTTTCATTTAGCTGCCCAGTCAAACTCTGTCAAAACATACCAGTACATGTAATTTCTACACGTTTTAGCAGAACAGCGCGAAAGCAAGCATGTTGAATCAAATTACCGATGTATATATAGTCATGACTTCTGTTTTTTTGCTGCTATATATTGATGATTAGTTGTATTTAAGTATCCGTAGTCTTTGATGGATAAGAAAATCGTGATTAGTACGGGATTTGATTTAGCTGCCCAGTCAAACTCTGTCAAAACATACCAGTACATGTAATTTCTACACGTTTTAGCAGAACAGCGCGAAAGTAAGCATGTTGAATCAAATTACCGATGTATATATAGTCATGACTTCTGTTTTTTTGCTGCTATATATTGATGATTAGTTGTATTTAAGTATCCGTAGTCTTTGATGGATAAGAAAATCGTGATTAGTACGGGATTTGATTGAAGCCCCGGAGAATACAGTCGTGACTTTTACTAGACATGTGGCTGCTTCTGTCGTGATCCTGAGCTCACGTTATTAACGTCATGTCTGTTAAACTTTTAATTAATACTGATAATGAAACGTTTATAGATGTCATGAATTCGAACTCGACACGGAAGATGTAGAATGCAACGTTACCTCATTTAGACCTAGGCTGATGCTTAAAGTACTATTTTATAAGTTAAAGATAAAAATTAAGAACCATTTAAAAGCTAGAATGGATACAGTTTTCTATATTTAAAAAAAAGTTACCACACACATCTCAATTATTAATTAAAAGCATTTAAGACAAAAGAGAAATACAATGTATGGAGTTAAATCAGTTTTCTTAAAACTTATGGTACTACATGTGTATGAATACAATTTAAACACAGGCGAAGGAACCTGTGTGTGTGATGGGGGGGGGGGAGTGGGGGGGGGGGGTTCAGACCCTTTTTGAAAATATACACATATATAATCTCCCTTCTCTCGACGGATAATTAAAAAATCGTGAAAAGCATTTGCACGTGTTCTATTGCAGTATGGTACAATGACAAAAAAGGATTGAACTTTTAATATCTATGCCACTACGAAATGTGTTATGAAATTCAGATCTTGCAGTTTACGTGATGTTGCGATAAGGAAGTCGTCTAGATCGTGCAGCTTTAAACAATCGCCAGCCCAGATTAAATTGTTCCCTGTAAATTATTAAAGTTCTGCTTCACGATTCCCGATGAAGAATTCTCGAAATAAACTAAAGAATAACATTCAGATTTTTTCAGGATGTGTTTTTAATAAATTTTTGTTTGAAAAAAATAATTTTAAGCATTTAGTTACATGTACTTTACTGTATATGTATCCGTTTAGACACAAATGTTTCATTTCTGCAAATAATCAACTGTTGTTGATTCCACAGGTGCTCGTGGACAGGATTGTTCCTACCCACTGACCCATCCCACCCCCTTTTCAATATGAAAAATCCCACTGGGGAAGTGCATGTCCTCCGGACAAGACTGTATATACCGAGGACCCATATGTCGCAGTGGATGTCAAACAAAAAAGTCCCTCGCTGCTCAAAAGCCTCTTCAATCAGGAGTCTATTTGAGTGAAAAATTCTCGAGGTGACGCTAAGCAAACAAACAAAAGGCCCTTTTTCTGGCCTGTCCTACATATTATATACTCCCATATGTAATGGTTTGAACTGTGTCAACTTTCTTGAACGAGCTTAGAAGAAGACTCTTAAATTTTTAAGATTATCTTTCGAAAGAGGTCACGGTTCAGTAGAAGAAACTTGAGCCTCCTTCACTTAAACAACAGAATGCTTTCTTTAGTTGTTAGTACGGGAATGAATGTCGCAGCTGTTGCAGAAAAAAAAATAACCCGCGTAAGAAAGATATTTTATTGTTTGTATTTATATCTGTTTAAATTATCATTTAAAGTAGGATTAAAAAGATTAATTGTTGTATTATTGATACGTAGGTCTTAGTACGTTTCATTGATAGAACAGCCACTGATCTAGGAATCTGTACAGGTGATATGCCTAGGGTTGTTCTTGCACTGATTAACGCAATGGGTTTTCTTAAGAAATAAAGGAGAAAATATTCAGTGGATGTAAATAGATGAGAATGCTTAGCTTTGTGGCTTGTGTTGAATGTGGCCCAGTGGTTCTTGAAAAGAAGGATGGGGAAATTTCAAAGATAGATGAAAGACGCATATCAGACAACATTTATCAAAGAAGCTCACTTGGGCATTTGGCTCAGGTGAGCTAAAAACTAAAAATAAGATGTTCATGGGCCACATCGTTCACCTGAGCACATTAGCTAGGAAAAAGCACAAATCAGTTTAGTATTGAAATGTTTACTGGGGGTTGGGACGGGGGTTTAAATTTTATACTACTTGGGGATGCCTCCAAACCAGTAAAGCATATAACTCTGTTGTTCTTGAGAATAATTATAAAGTCGTCCTTTCTTTATATTTCTTTGTAAAAAAAAAAAAAAAAAAAAAATCGATCCCCCATTGTTGCCCCACCCTACCCCCAGGGGTCATGATTTAAAAAAACTTGAATCTACACTACCAGATGGTTCCGTATAATTATCACCAATCATGACTTTGTTGTTCTTGAGAAGAAGACTGTTAAAGATTTCTTTTTCTATATCTTTCTATATAAAACTTGACTCCCCATTATGACCCCATGCTACCCCTGGGGATCATGATTTGAACAAACTTGAATCCACACTGCCTGAGAATGATTCAACTTTGAGTTTCGTCTTTCCTGGCCCAGTGGTTCTCAAGATTTTTTCAAGATGCCGGTAATTTTTCACTAATTTGTAATTATCTTCCCTTGGAAGAGGGTGTGTGGCCCTTCATTTGAACAAACTTGAATCCCCCACACCTAAGGATACTTTGTGGTAAGTTTGGCTAAAACTAGCCCCTTGGTTCTTGAGAAGAAGTCAATAAAGTGAAAAGTTCACAGACACCAGACAAAATGTGATCAGAAAAGCTCACTTTAGCCTTCGGATCAGGTGAGCTTAAAAAATAAAACAAGATAGGAAAACAGTAAAACCCTTTTTTACGTGACTAAGGAAATCTCTGGGTATTTGAACTTTGCGTTTTATGACAAAGATCAGATTAATAGATATTGTGCAAAATCTCTATGTGATTCAAAAACGGTTCTCGTTTTTTGAGATTTCCATATAAACAAGTTGACTTATGACTTGTAATAAGCATTTTAGGATGACAATATGGCTATTATAGGGATTAAAGAGGAAACATCTTTGCAACTCCTCAAGAGCAAATCGATGATTCAATCATATAATTTTGGAGCAAATCCATGATGAATCATATCAATTTGGAAGCATGTTCTGGTAGTGTACATCCATTTTTTCTCTCAATTCATGGCCCAGTTTATAATTATAAGATGGGGCCACAAAAGGTGATCAAAATAAAGAGGAAAACTTGCTTACGGGGGATGGGGGGGGGGATCTGATGAAGAACTAGGCAAAAGTGACACATGTGAGTTTCTGGCCTATGGACCTCTTGTTATTTAAAATTACTGAAAACAGGAAAATCTGAGTAAACAAAAATGTCAATTTTCAATTGAACAGGGTCCTTTTGCTGGGCCTGAATGCAATGGACATTAATCTCTGGTGTCTAAAAAATTCATTTTACAGTAGCTTGGAACTTGCCCAATTCGGATGGATTGACTCAAAATATTAATGATAACTGAGACAGAGTTCATTTCCTGACTAGATTTATTTATACAGTTAATTTTTCTATAACATGGGATCACAGATATACATGTACATAACAGAATTACAATCATCACCCTATAATATTTACATACAGCCATCCTCCTATATACATATTCACATTAAATATTATATACATTATACGGCCACTAGCTATCTGGTAAGTAAGCAATGTCTTTACTAAAATCTATACCCTCTGAATTTTGAATTTCTTTTTTAGTACTCATAGACATGTAAGAAAAATACATGCAATATACTTCAAAGACATTCATTTATTTCAAAATATTTTAAGTTCCAAATTGTAAGAGAAACAGGGTCTGCTCAATTTTATTACCAACAGCTTTGAATGTTTACTTTCATTTACCCTTAATATTTTCACACAGTTTAAAATAATTGATATTTTGATTTCAAGACAATGCTTCCATACCAAATGCCGGTGAACCATATATACCTATTATCCACTAACAATTATCTATATACACAAACATGTACGGTTATAACCACTTACTGGTGTTTTTTTATGTGCGTATTTTTTTTCACTTGAAACAATATAGAACACACTTTTAAAAATAGGATATTCCTCGAACATCGAGGTTACGCATTCAGTTCACCTAACTGGTGATTTCCATAAAAACACATGGTACAGCTGTGTTCACATTTTATATCAAGCCAGCAAAAATTTGGCTGGAAAAGGAAAAAAATGTTTACCCAAGGAATGTAGCATCACATTCTAGAAAAACATGTGTGATAAATGCAAAAATATCTAATGGGGTTTTACTGCTGTCAAGATAAAGGTCATTCAATCCCAAATTAAGAGAAAAAAAAACAAATACAAAATCTAGCAGATAAAAAAATTCAGTGAAAAGAAATGATTTACATCTTAAAATTTCTAGAGAACATCTATTGGTGACAGTTACATGTATTACAAACAGTAAATCAAATACATGTATTATCTACAGACAAAAAACATACAATGCGTCCCCAAGAATATGTATTAAGAAAGCAAATAAATATCAGAATATGTTCTTTAGATAAAATACAAGCAGCAAATACATAATATACATAAATATATGTACAATGTAGTATCTACCAAATCTAGCAGATTAGTAGTTCTGGGGCAGATAATTTTATACAGACTTAGCTGTCATAAAATAGCATTCCCAGATCACGAGTTATATTTATAGAATAATTATTGAGGGAGGGGACAACTTTTTCCCTATCTTTGCTATTGAAATATGTTTTGTACAGGACGCAGTGAAATGTTTTGAGATGTCATGAGAATTTTTCTATTGGTGTGTTTTCAATTCCTAATTAAAAACATACTGCAAAAAAATAACTGCCTAAACATAACTGTACATTTCTACATACAATAAGCACTGGGTAATACATGTAACAATGGTATAAGAATAGGAATAAAAACATCATGAATATATTTCCTCTAAAATCTGAGGGAAAAAATAACAAATTAATACATTTCAGTAATGAAAGAATCAAGGAATTATAGACATGTAATAAAATCTTTTTCAATGATTCACAAAATTCTTTTGAAAATTTTTCAAACATGAACCATATTGCACAAGTTCACAAATTAAACCATACATTTTCTTAACTGGAAGGCATATTGCAAATTTTTTTTTAATATTACCAACAAATATCTCCAAGTTTTAACATACATATATATGTATCAATTTCTAATTCTGGTGTCTGCTATGAATATATCAACTAATATAAATCATTTCTTATTTGTGAGAATTTTATTTTTGCAGAATTATGCGAGACCATCTGCTTACCAAAATTAATTTCTTACAAATATTTTTCTAAATAAAAATTACATATACATTAACGAGATTTTGTGAAAATCTGTTTTGATTATAAAAGCCAAACAACTTTCTAAAACCAAAGGTGATACAAAAATTTGAGATTTATAGTACAGGTGTACTCCTTAAAAAAAAAAAAAAAAAAAAAAGGCATCAATTTTAAAAGAAAACTATACCCTCTTAAAAAGATTTTTAATTTAAATTTTCTCTGATCTGGCTAGGTTGATTTTGAAGAAAAACAACAAACCCATTAGTTGTCTCGCCTTTTAATGGAGGCACAGTCCTTCATTTGAACAAATTTGATCTCCTTTCCCCTTAAGATGCTTGTGACTATTTTTTTTCTTTGATATATTGACCCAATGGTTTTAGAGAGGAGGTTTAAGGTGCGTGAGGCTATTCCACAGCTAGACCAGATAATCAGATGAAAGACGTGTATCATATAGAGCTCAGTCAAGTTCTCAGCTCAGAATTACACAAATTATTACAGCAAAATGTCAATAATTATAACAAGAAGCACACAATTGGTCAGATCATTAAGATATGGCAATGATTGGCAACATACTTAAAACACGTATTTATTTACAAGTATATCTACATTATGTCTGCCCCAACAAAACAAAATTAGCATACAAAATTCTGTTCATTACTTGCACCAAAAAATCTGATTTCTTTGTCACTGATATGAATTCATGGATTTTCCTTCAACAAATATTTGATATCACTTGTGTAAGGAAAAAAATTACACACAAATAAATCTGTATTACAATATACAGTTGATATTATGAAAAAAAATCACAAGTAAGCTTTACAAAAGCTGAATATGTGTATATATACAAGACTTGAACCATCTCTAATATCTCTAATGATATCTATACTCGTTTTAATTATTTCAAGCTAATGATGAGAGCACAGAGCTCCTGAGGACTGGTTTCTTCTGGATGGTCGGTCATCACTTTCCTGACTTTGGGCTCGGGGAAGAGTCCACACAAATGATAGTACAAATTGTATCTCTTGTCCGTGGGTTCAATGGGAGCAAACTCCGAGAATTTGGGTCTGTTTCCAGCCCCCTCCATCCTTGGCGTTCCCATGGGATTCAAGGTTGCACCAAAACTTTGTGGACACGAGGGATGGCCACTTAAGTTTGCAGAGGATGTTCTTGATAGGCTTTGTTTATGTTCCTCTCCAATGATTCCTACACTTTGTTTGCCAGAAGGGTTTTGTAACATGGAATGTTGTTGATTTTCACAGAAATTGGACATAGCACACATGTTTGATGGAGTCTGATTCTGGAAAGAAAATCCCCCCGAGTGGCACCTTTCTGCAGGTCTATGCTGTGAAAACGGTAGTCCACTGCTCTCATGGAATGGATCGTAGGATGTTTGTTGATATCTGTACCGTTCTTCAACAGAGTATTTCACACTCTCCCGACTCTGCCATGATGGTACTGATGGATAATCAGATTCAAAGGCATCAATACCTTGGTTTGCTGGATAATGACCCTTTCCATATTCAGGGAGTCCAAGCCCTAAAACAGGTTCAAAAGTCCACCTGGTTTCCCCATTCCCATGCTGTGAACGATACTCTTGTGGTTTGGGATAGCTGCCAACTGCTCTACTTCTTAAGTGCCGAGGATCAGTTCGCTGGGGGGTCATTCCTGAGGAATACTGGGAACTCTGTGGGTTTCCTCTGTTAAAATCAACACATTCAGAAGGGAACAAACTGTATTCACTTGGTCCTAGATCCGTATCTCCAATCATGTGGATCTGTGTGTCTGAGGAACTATTCTGACGGACCATTCGTCCAAATCTCTTGTGCGAATTATTGTCATGTCTTGTGAATATAGTTTCCGGAGCACTCTGCATTCTGGCCAAGGCCGCATGTTCAGACTCCTCACCTAGAAAACGATGATCTGGCCTACCACTAAACTGTGGAGGCAGATTGGCGAAATTCTCTCCAGCAAACGTGTTATGAGGGATTCCAAAACCCCCGAAATTATCCTGTGGTAAAGGGCCCCTACAGGAATGAGCAGAAGACATGCACTCCTGTCTTAAGCGTGGATCTTGTGATCCTTGGAGGGAATATTGTCTACTAAGTCTCTGATGCTGATGCTGCATGGGGACAGGATGAGAGAACTGCTGGGAGAGAAGCTGGTGTTGAGGAGGTACCTGCTGGTTCAACATGAGGGAGGGATGCTGTGTCAGAGGCTTGTTCTGCTTCACAGGTGTGGACAGTGGGCTCTGACAGGCGTAATTACTGGGAGGGCTAGTGTTAAACAACCTTTCCTCTGACTTATGAGTCTTGGTTTCTCCTGCTTCGTCAGATAACTTCTTGGCTAGCATCAGATGACCGCTGAGGAACATCTCCTGGGGGTGAGGGGGCATCAGCTGGGGGGAGGGAGTGGACCTCTGACGGGGGGAGGACGACCGAGAACCACACTGATCAATCTTACTGGCCATGTTAAATGGCTCCACATTCTGCATCTTAACACTGAACTGAGATTCCATGGTTTCAGATCTTTGCCTCTGTTGCTCCTTATCTGCCTGTTCCACTTGTTTCCGATGCTCAGTAAGTTTGTCGTTATAACTCCTCCACTTCTCCTCACTCTCCACGTCTCGGTATTCCATGTTTCGGGGCAGCACTTCCATGGCCGCCTCACCAAAGTCCCCGCTAAGTCTCTTTGAGGGTGTGTCAGCTACCAGGCTGTCTGGGAGAGGTTTGGGGGTGAGGGACTGGGTTCTCGTTAAGGCCGCCTTACCCCGAGAGGATTTCTTACACAAAGGTTGTTTTCCTTTTGAACCTGAAAATAAAAACAGAATTATCTTTTACCATAAAATAATTTTGATGATCTTATAATCTGTCTATTGCAGCTTACTTTCAGAATCAACAGATACAATTCAATCAATAACAAAAAACACCTTTTTGGAGTCGGGGGAGGGGGAAGAGAATATTGTACATTTCGTGCAACTGCAATCTCCCTCCAAACCAACTGTTGTTTTTTCAACAACAAAAAATCAGAAACAAAACAATGAATCAATTTCCCTGCTGGGAAATTACCATTCTTTTTATTTTTTGGGAAACTTTATTAAAACTACAAGTTTACTTGTTTAAATGCAAAAAAAAAAAAACCCATAATACAAAATTACACCATCTCGATATTTTAATTTGTTAGAGACATCCCTGACATTCTTTAATTAACCAAAACAACAAATCCAAATTATGATTTCCTGAATGAAACAGAAACTGGGATGTATTTTGGAATGTTTACTTTTAATGACCTTGACCCAGAGACAATTCAAGCACTATACTCAAACAGATCCATTGAAAAAGATAGTACAACTTCCTCAATTTTAAAGTTCATTCACTTATAAAATATAAATCCATGAATAAACCAAGTACCAGTACTGAGATTTTTAAAAATAAAACCCCCTTTACTGATTTTCAGAAACTGAAGTTAAAGTTCTTGGCACTGGAACTAATTCATTCTGATATGCAAATACTGTACATGTACTTATTTATCAAAAATTTGTCAATATAAACAAATAAGACCACAGACCCTGTGATGATTGTAGAATCTAAACTGGTCAACAATATACAGAATTTACTAGAGCAAACATGCACCTGTATAGCTGTACTGACCTATAACTAGCTCTAGTCCATGGCAAATGTAGCATAAGAATCAAATAAATTTTAATCACAGTTCTCTCATTCTGTAGGTTGTGTTAATATTACAGTCCACTTGACTACGTAGAAGGGGGATTAGGGAGGCGAGGGGCGGGGCATCAAATTCACTAATCTCAACCTGTTTTCCATGAAACATTAAACACGTTACTGAAGTCAAAATAACGACATTATTTACCTTCCTGTGTCTTCCGATTTTCCCGCACCTCCTGGATTTTCTGCTTGGCCTGCTCGGCTAGTTTTTCCGTCACCATTTTGTGGGGCATGTTCCCTCGCTCAGGGTGGTAGAACTTACACTTGTTGCCGTAGGTACATTTCTTGCTGCCGTAGGGACATACTGGGGGGAGGGGCTCCGGCTGTCTCGGCTCCTTAGACAGGAAGTTGTCCAAACTGGGGCCATGTCTGCCAAGCGGATCATCTGGGGGCATGAATCTGGAAAAATGAACAAAACAAAGTGATACATTGTACCCATGTTCAAAACTCTGTTATGGCATCCTGAATAACAATGGCTACAATCAAGTCCAACTGGAGCATAAATCTCTTGTATCTGTGTTAAACTAACAGAGAGAATTTGATTTTAAAAAAAGACACAGCATGATTAAAGTAGACAAATTCATTGTAAACATTCATGCCTGTTAAACACCATTATTAGCCTGAATCTGATCTTCAATGCAAACATTCGTCAAATGTTGTAAATATTATCTATAAAATGTGAAATTTTAAAATTAATGTTTCCTTAGATTTCTCAAAAATCAAAATAACTTTCTCTCAATAATTTCCCATTTACCATGTTTACCAGCTATTTTTAGTTTATCATTTCCAATGATAAACATGCTGAAGATGAATAATTTGTACCACGACATATCATAAACAAATATAAACACTGACCCAGGCTAGAATAGACTGTATTTTCCATAAATTTCTTCAAGTATATTTATAGATAAGTGAAAAAAAACAAACAATTTCCCATAAAGATTTTTTTGGACTACACATCCTGATAATTTGTTTCGATCGTAACTCAATTTGATGCTCTATTAAGAAGTGCAATCTGGAGTGCTTGGGAAGTAGTTATAAAATTTTACAGTGCAGTTTTCTTCTTATCAGGAAATGTGACTCTGGCTTTTTGAAAAAAATACTTTAGAGTAAACAGTATCTGATATTTCATTGAATGAGTTTATAAGTAGCTAATTACAAAAGAAGCAAATGTTCCTGCTTGTCTTAATGTGCTAACTTATATACACTTTTTTGAGGGTAGGGGGGATGTTACTCAAAAGATGTGACAACATAATTTGTACTCTTCTTGAAAATTCCTTACACTGCAACCAAAGCAAACTTTCAGCAATATACAATTTTCAAATTATTTTTGCATTTTAAAAAAACTATCTTACATCTGCAATTAGCATGTCAATTTGATTACTGTTAAATCTAAATAATTATGTAACCTGCCATTAATAAAAAAAATTCTCTTTGCTTGAAATGTTTTTAGTACCTGTCATTGACGAAGGAATACATGAGTAACCTCTCCTCCACCACTTTGCGGTACTCAGATTTTTCAGTCACGAGATCCCTATAGTTGTCATTGGACACCACGACTCCCCCACTGTCCGCCGCAAGGTTTAGGATGTAGCGGTCATCGTAACACACCACCCGTTTACCTCCGATGCGGCGTGCGGGCGTGAACACCAATATCTTCTCTTTTTCAAGTTGAAATAGAATCTCTTGATCTGGAAGAAATTGACAATTAAGAAAATAGAAAATTGAAGGTTTTTTAAGTAGAGAATTGACATCAAATTCATACCTGGTGATTAAAAAGCCTCCTCTAATCAGCATTGTATATTTTTCAGGATTTTTTAGAAGGATTTAGTATACAATCTGATTTAAAAGCAACATCTGATACTAACATATTTTCATATATACTCTATCTGATTACAAATCAGAACTATAAACTCAAATGTCTACTTTCTCTGAAAATACTCATTTTAGTTTAATATATATAAAGTTATAAATAGTTTTTGATCTTTGAGTTTCTCAGAACTGCAGAAGATGAAGTTTGTGTAAAATCTCTAATTCCCATATATTGGTTTTTCCCTTCTAGTATACATGTATAATATCAATATACTAAAAACACATGATAAACATATATTTGAAAAATCAAACATAACAGCAGTATATTCATGTGATAGGTAAACCTTGGTTTTTCCACTACATTTTTTGACAACTTAAATTCCTAATTCTTTGGGAATAAATAATGATAACAAATAATTTTTAATTAGCATGATTAAAGTCCTCTTGAAAAGTGGTACTTTTATTGGTGCAGTTTTCATTTAAATAGACGAAATTTAAGGGTTTTTATTAAAAACTGTTTATCTGCAGTTTCCATTCTAGCATACTGTTTTCAAAAGAACATGAGATTTTGGGCTTTTAAAATTTGGTTCATTAGAAATACGTATTTTGATGTGTGCAGGGTAAATAATTTAGGAAAATATAAATTGAGCATTTCGTTATATAAGCACTATTTATAGATGGATTAATAAATGATTAAATAATACATGTATTTCCCAATTCCTCTTGAATAGCTGAATGGGAAAATCATTCATAACTGAATATTATATCTTCAGAAAACAAGTTTTAAATCAATTTAATCTCTTATTGTTCTAGATGTGCATGTATATACATTATTTGTTAGAATGACATTTTTTATCATTTATCATCCATCTAATCTTTATCAAAGTCAACGTACAAATGATCTGTGCAAATTCTGTATTCTATACATTTAATTTCATTGTTAATCAATATTCACATTTTTTATTTGTGTACAGTAAAATTTGTCTATTTATCATCCATCTAATCTTTATCAAAGTCAACGTACAAATGATCTGTAATTATTCCCTCTAATCCGGCCACACCTGAGTTACTTCAGAGCAATTAACACCTTTCGTGGTGGATGTGATAATCCGTGTTTACATTAGCATTAGTGCCATAAGACAGGTGTACAAATACATTTAAAAAAAATTAACTGACAATTGGTGTAATTCTATGGTTATGTTACAGTTTAATTATCATTGTTAATCAATGACTCATTATTAATCAGTGACATGACATAATATTTGTGTATAATTAGATTCTTCCTTTCCCTTTAACAAGATTGGAGCAAATATCTACAGGTTGTCTCATGACTACATGAAAATCTAATCAGCAGAGAGAACCCTGACGACCTTTCATCACGGCCACGTTTTCTTGTTGACGTGACTTCCTGAACGACCAAAAATGTTGTAAACAAGGAATATCTCTTGTACCTGTTACACTGGCATGTTAGCGGTGATTATAGTCAGGTAATCACAAGGCATGTTATTGGGACTTTGTTCATGTTCCTTACCATGATTTGCAGAATTAGTTCCACTAAGTAAAAAATTTTTAAAGCCATTTTTGGAAAATGTCATCCATAAAATATCTCGCTATTTCATGTTTTTAAAATTTTAATTTCAATGCTTGGCTTTAAAATCTTATTTCCGTTTCAGAGCATCTATAACCGAAGATTGCCTTTCATACAGCTTCTTTTAAATTAACTTTTTTTCTGGTCTAGTGAGCACAAGACCTCAATGTTACAACCTACCCAGATAGCTTGGCTAATACTGGTACATTAACATGCCTATATCTACCAGTCTGGCTTAATTAAAAGGTAATGTACCTGTAATTTTGGCATCAACACGTGATGTCTCTTTCCTCCACTGAGGTACAAACACCGTGATTGCCTTGTGACCCCGATCTTTGAACCAATCAACAGCTAGCTGTATTCCTCGACACGAGAAAATCTCCTTGTTGCCATGACTAAAAGAACAGATCAGGGTTAAAAGACATGCTCCACAAATTTCTGTGACGTCTACAGCTAACAACATTTAATGCTCATTAAATATGGTAATATACTTTATATATATGCACCTTTATGTGACAACAAATCAGATCATTACTTCATTATTTCATTCATATACTTTAAACTATGCGCCCCAAAAAAGTTCCTTGAAATATAGACACGCAATATAATGTCTTAATGTACATGTACATTTCAATATACTTAAAACAATAAAAGATATATAATATATAAAATAATATTTACCTCATTGCAACATTACTTCCATCTATGACTATTGGACGAAAGTTTGAATCCGAAAGGTCGAAACAGTTTTCTGAGGTAAGATCCAGGAGGTTTTCTGAGGAGCCCTCCAATGCACACAGACCGGGGGTCTCCTCGTCACAGCCCCGGGGTTCACGATCAGTGGAGGTACTTAGTTTGATCAGTTCAGACAGAATCTCATTCTGCCCAGCTTTGTTGCCAAGTTTTTTCAGCACTGAAGCCAGCTGGAGTTCCGAGTACCCTAACTTTAATGCGAATTCTATTTTCGTGTTGTACTCTTCTTCGTCGGTAGTATCTTCTTCTGAAGAAGAGGACGACTGATGCTTCAGCTTTAAATTGGAAAAAGAGTTTTCGGTCAACTTCACATGATGACCGTAAGACATAGTTTTTGTCAGGGGGCTCTTACAAGGAGCTGTAAGCTCTGAAGGTAATGGACTCATTCCTACGGACACTGTCCTTTTCAAGGCTAAATGTGTCCGAAGTTGTCTCTTTTCAGTTGCACCAGTTACACTGGAAACTCTGTTCAGACTTTCTGAACTTTGTAGTTTTAAGCGAGACACATCACTAGTTTCCCTATCCTCTTCACAAAGTACATTCCCATTTTCATTCATTGAATCTACATTATCTTTGTCACCATTTGTGGGTATTAATTCAGACCCTTTTTGGACCTTAGTCCCTTCTAGGCCCTTGTCCCTCCCATGAGTGTGAATATTGATGAAAGACTCTACACTGCCCTGTTTCTTCACTAGCTGATCTATCAGGGCCTGGGCAATGCTGACGTTTTCTTTCTTCCCAAAGATACAGACATGGGAGTTTTCCTTCGAAAGGTCAACCACGGCTTGAGAATCGCGTTCAATGGTGGACTGTAATTCCTGGACCATGGTGAAATGAGAGGTAGGCAGGGTCTGAATACAGCGGCTCAATGTCTCCCCATCAGCTGTCAGTGATTCCAAATAGGTCTGAAAATATACAAGTTTACACTGTAACGACTTCATTAATCAAATGTTGTCAAACTTTTGTATTCCTTATTTTTCATGAGTACTTATTTTTGCTAAATGGCACTTTAACATCAAATAAGGAGAATAATAATTTGCGAGTAGGTGAATGATAAGTAATTTTATTTTGCGAGTGGTAAATCTCGCAAAATTACGCGATAATTAATTCCTCGTATATATTAAGGAATTCACAGAACTGATCGTACAAGTAAAGAATGAAAACGGAAGTAGATCCTAAATATCCTTACAAAAATAAATTGCAAACCATTTTTCTTCCAGTTGTGATATATTTCATCAAGCTGTTTATCCAAAGAAAAGATTGAATCTACTAACATTCCTGGTTTCAGAAGGAAGTTCTTATTCCTTATATATAAACATGAAAATGTGTAAAAATATCTTCGTCTAGAACTTTCACTTCCACTGATCAACAGTTTAAAGGTGCTACAATGCCTAAATATGGTTATTTTTGTCTCATAAATTCTCATTAATCATTCAATTTGTTTTTAAATTCAAACCATGATCTCATGACTACGTAAGTCACAGTAATTCTGTTGATCCAAGAAATAATATATTCTAACTACGTCATTCCATTCCAGTTCTAAACAGACAGTTGTGTTAATCTGACAGATTGCCTGTGTCTTTGTCGTGGTAGAGATTACATTTTTTGCCTCCATTGGAAGCAAAATACTGTTGTCACCTTAACACCTATCTTTAATAAGAAGCAACAATGTTTATATCATCCAAAGCACGTCATTGGGATCTATATTTAACGTTTAATTAATACCCTGTTAAGTCCACCTACTATCACCTGAAACACGAGGAATTAATCTCCATTGGAAAATTGTTATGATTTTTATAATGAAACAGTATAGTTACATGTATACACTGTGTACTGTGTACCGGTATTTTCATTAGCAAGTTCCAAATCACAGCCAAATACAGACAGTTTCTCTTCAGAAAAAGGGTCGTGTTTTTGAAAATTAACTAAAATCAGATCGGAGCCTGATTTTTAAGATTATCATTACAATGTATTCAGAGTTCTTTAGAATACAGGAGTTTTACTTTTAAATACGAGTAAAAAATACTATCAAACTTGTGAACTGCACTATATTTTGGGATATACCCATAATAGTCACTGTCCCATCATTCTTTTAAACCTATTTATGCTTTTGTCTTAAACATGTATACCACAAATTATGTGTTTGAAACATGTTATATAATACAAGTGTAATCATGAAAATTATATGTACCGTATACACTCGCCTATAAGTGGGTCCACGCCTATAAGTCAGCTGTACTACGATAGCTTTTATATCAGAGGGACTGACCTCATAAAATACCATTCGTTTTATAGCTCGCCTGTAAGTCAGACAAAGAGCTTTGGTCCAGAGATTAACTCCAAAAAACGACTTATAGGCGAGTATATACGGTATATTAAAAAATGAAAAATGTGAAGTTATGTTTTTCTGGCATATTTTTTAGGAAAAATTAAGAATATTCATATAAACATGATAAAATCATGGCAAAAATTGCTTGTAAAATTATCATGATATTATCATATTTTGGGAAAAAATCATAATACATCTGAAATAGAACTTTTTGGCAATACCCATCCCTATTGATTAAAAAGATAATCTGTTTTCCATTCTAGTGACCCATTGCTGACCACACTTTAGACCATGTAGACCAATGGATCTTGACAATTTACAGATTTCTACATCTTATTTATTTAAGACATGTAACAACTATAAGGTTCATTATTCCAAAATAAATATACCTATTTCAGGATCAAATCGCAAAAATTTGCACCCGCATTAAAAACCAGCTATATGGTATATAGATCAAAATAAAGACATTTCAATTTATATGTTGCATAATTCCCTGTGAGTTCAGTTATTTGTATGTAATATGAGAGACTTGTTGCACTACTTACTAGAAATATATATTTGATTGCCAGCCATGTGTCTTACTTGACCCTATAATATGATTCGTTTGTTATATGTGTAGATAATCCTATTATAATTAGCTGTAATGTGATCATGCAGGTACAAACTAATTTAATATGCTGGCTTCATCATTTTAGACAACACTCATTTCTCATATGAAATAAAATGTATTCTATTGCTAAATATCAGAAATTTGAATCACAATTACCAGGACCTATATCTTGTCAGCTTTTTCATTAGCTTGACCTTCATCATTGTCGCAAACCACGGCCAAAATGTACGATCCTCTCCAATTCTGGGCATGGTTGAATAATAAGATAATATTCTGTACCTCATTAAAATACTGACCAAAGCGAGTAAAGCATTGTCAGAGATTCAGAATGAACTTTGTCATGAACTTTCAATGGTCGATCCTGGTTTACAAAATATTTTTTATTTACTGATGATGTCAATGTTGATTTCAATTGCCATGGAAACAAATATTGTCATTGGCTGTACTTGACGTCACATTATAGAGGCGTAAATATTCAAGATTACGTATATTATGTGCAGACTCTCAACCGTGGCTCAAGACGATGGGTTTTCATTTGAAGTAAGTTACTACAAGGTAAAGAAATGAGGCTCATTGCAAATAAATGTGTATGAAATTTGAATTAAAATTTTGAATCTAAAAATCGGGCTCATGTGATTTAAAAAAATGCATAAATATGTGTGGTATTCAGCTATGTCTAATTGTTATTTTTTCCCAATGGCTGGATAGCAATATAAATTGTGTATCGAACTTAATTAAAATTTTGAATCAGAATACTTGAGGCTTGAGTAATTTACTGCATAAATATGTGTGGTGGTCAGCCCGCTTAGATCGCCGATGGCTGGATAGCTCAGTTGATAGAGCACCTGACCAGAAATTCCGGGGAGCCGGGTTCAAGTCCCGGTCTCACTCACTCAGTCCGATGCATTTTCTCCTCTCCTGTATGGAATTTAAATTTACATGAATGTAAAATATTCAATTGTTAACAATTTTGTCAATGAATATGTTTTTTTTGTTTGTTTGTTCTTGCGGCCTGACCTTTCATTAAAACACTCAAATTCATTCAACAAAAATGAATACAATTACAAACAATATTCACTTTAAAAATGTAAACAACTTGATAAAGTGCTTTAACGTTTTTGAAAAATATATAATACTACACTTCAATTCCATCCTAAATTTTCTACAAGAAGGAATTAAATAAATTCACATTATTTTCCAATTCAGTAATTTTCACTAATTGGAATGTACCATGCCAATAGAAATTCACTTCCTTGAATTTTATATACACCATTCATTATCTTATCAGGTTAACCCTGTGAAAAGTTTTGTTTTGCTTTTTTTGGGGGGTGGAGGGATTGAATATTACATGTTATTCTTTCAAATAATATCTCCCTTTGAAAGAGACTGTGGCCTTTATATTCAAACTCTTTGAAAGGTCTTGTCGCAATACACATTTGAAGTATAAAGCTCTAGCATCAACTGTTCAAAAGTCATGGCCAAGGTTAAATTTTAGGTAAAAGTGGATCAAATCCTTGACCTTGGTGTTTGACTTGCATTTTAAGGCCTTTAACCCCCCACCCCGCATCAAGCTGCCATTCAGGGGCAGTATTTCACAAACACATCTTGTTTTCATGAGAATGAGATGTCTTTGTACAAGACAAACAAGTTATATTTAGATAATTTGTAATACATGTCTACCTTGTTAGCGGTGAAGTCAGGCAGAATGTGTAACTACAGACAGAGACTTGGATAAATAACTGATTTGTTATAAGGCTATAAACAGGTCAACCTTAACAACAAATCTGAAATTCCTTTTGTTTTCATTTTGATTTTTTTTTTTAACTTTAGATTACAATAATATATAGTACATGTATATATTCACACTGGGTGACTGTTAAAAATCATAATCAGGCCTAAGAAAAATTCATCATGACCAATATTACCACTGATTACAATCGAAAGATGAGAAAAAATATTTGTTAACAGGTGTGGGCCACTGGACAGATTAAGACAGCTGGCCGGGCAAATGTGTTGATTGATTGGTGATCGGCGTGTGTGTGTTGTGGCTCTATGGCTTCTAGCTGTTACTCATTTCTGACAATTAAGTTATATATACTGGTATATATACCGAATTTACCTATCAGATAGACATTTATAGACTGTTTGTTCTTTGTTTGGAACTTCCAATTAATTTAAACAAAAAGTGAGTTTAAGTGACCTATTGAAATTATAATATACATACATAATATATAATATACATGCACATGTTTATCATGCATATGTCAGAGGTAACAATTAAGCAGAAGTTTTCATTTTTTTCTAAAAATTATTATGATTATTATTTAAATGTTGTTCCCAACACCTGAATAAAATACAGTCTCCGAATTTTTTTTTTAAGTATATAACTGCATGAAAAAGGCCGATTAAGTGTCCAATATCCAAGATTATAAGACACTCATATGTTAGATAATGAATACATGCAGATTCTTTACAATGTGGATTAATAGGCAATGATGTTGAAATACTTATATAAATGAAATCAATTTGTTCTCAACTCTTTTTTCCAAATTGAATCAATACATGCCTAGGTTACCATTACAAACTGTCAGAAAAAGATCATGTAAGACTTTAAAAAGACTCAATGATTTAATGACTTCCCTGTGCCTTGCCAGACTATTGGACAACATAGAGCAACTTCAGGTCGGCCAAAGACCAGACAGACTCATGGATTTGTCACTGTATATATGTAATGTACTATTGTAATAAAGAGTTGTCTGCATACAGTAAGAATGTATCATCAAATACTTCACACACTCAATCATTTACTAATCACTTTTAGCACAAACTGCTTAAAATCAGATCCCTTGATCCGCTCACATAGATCACTACACAAGGAGATGACCCTGAATGGGGTTTCTTCAGATCCTTGTGTACATATCTATGTCAGCGGATCAAAGGATCTGATTTTAATCTGATTGCACTTTAGCAAAGATACATGTAGTTGTACTAAATGTTCAACTCAGGCCCATAGGAACCAATTTTATTTGGGGGGGGGAATATATTAGGCAAAAAATGTAAATACCACATAATAACATTCTCTTGATTGTCACAGATTAAAAAGCTAGGCCAACAAAACACACAGATTAGAAAACCTCCTCTACCACTTTGTTTCTCTGTGACACACATAATTAACTTTCAGTTTCAAGACGACAATGAACAGTTTCTTTATGCGAGGTGATACATTAGTTTTGCAGATCACCCAAACACCAGAATACATTATGCCTATTTTAATTCTGTAAGCTAGTTTAGCTACACCATGTAGAAGTTAAAGAAGAATATTTGTCAGGGCCTTTATATTTTACCACATATTTTGTTTTAAATAATCGTACAAATCACAATGCAAGTAAATACCAAGCTAGCACCAAATTGTGGAATTTCCCAGGGATTTTTAATATCCCCAAAAGCATATGATAATACAACATCGCAGTAAATACGTCAGCAGTGCTATAATGAGTAAGAAGTGTACTGCACCTGTAACTAGGTCAATAGGTGAGATCTGAGAATCAGTGACAATCCACCAAGCCACGATAGACCCCCACATTACAGAGCAATTATTACAATCATTAGAGTTTCACTATCTTATATACGCGTGAGGTCAAACTTACTTTCGCCTTTTTAATGTTTTTCGATGTGCCATTTTCGTCCGAGGATGACATGCATATTTTCGTAGACAGCTTATCTTCGTCATGACAGAGGGTGATGTTTACATGAAAAGCCTGATAGATCCGATCTTTGTACGCTTCAATCAACGATTCCTTTGCCTTATCGACATAAAAATCATCTATAGTCATCATAGACTAAGGAATATCCAAAGAATCCTTTCATTTTCCGAATCAGGTAGTGCTAAATCTCTAAAATCGTGACATCTTAAACGTTCAACAGATGGCGCTCTGTGCCGGAAATGACCTTTATATAGGTCAAGTTAATTTGTAAACATAAACAGAGACACGTGTTTTCTGCATTACCAACATTTATCGTAATCTTGCACACAACACAGTTATATAAAATTATTCTTTTAATTAATATTTTAGTTGTTTGTTTTAACACACCATCCATAGATGATGGATATGTCAGAATGCATGGTCAAGTCAGACTAATGTACTAAATTACTACAAAGAAGTGAATGGATTTAGTCAGACTGTGTGGGGTCTGATCCAGGATAAAGTCTCAGCGGATGAAATTTCGCCCAGTGTGAGCTTGACTACTGAATTAATTATTTGTACGGCTTTTTAAGTATAATTATATATAAATTTAATGTTTTTCATTTTTATTAATTGCAGTATATAAGTTATACCTACCTAAATTTCCTTAATTTAAATACCATACAAAAATATTTCATTATTCTCTTAAATAATCCCAATATTCATGCAGGTGTTGTTCTGATATATAAGTAATAAATCTATTATAATCATATCACAATAAAAAACAAATAAATTATTGCATTTGTTAATAATAACAACACTCCATCAGCGGATCGTGACCTGATATTACTTGAGAACACGCGTATATTACGGGACTGGTGGCCGTCGTTATCAGAGGGTACATATAATATTGTAATTGGCTTTATTCGTGCATAGCAGAATGCCTGGACAGCCAACGGGATGCAAAGAAACACTTAGATGTACACCTGTCAGTGGCGGGCGTGCGGGAAAACCACCAGATAATTTATCATAATCGTGCTCACTCTCAAGACTTCTCATTGTTTGTGGTCGATTTGTCGTGACACCCGTGGCATTGATTCCATGATAATGTACTCTAATGGTAAATGTTTTTAAATGCGTTTTTCTTTTGATAAAATTGCTTAATTTAAATAAGAGATATTTACTAATTGTCAAACACGTACCGTACATACCCCCTTTCACCCACTTCTATATGACCTTAAATTGGAAAAAAAAATACCACAAACATAAAATATTAACATAATAAAAAAGTTTAATCACATGTTCATCTTTTAATCTCTAGCTCGGCGGTTTGAAAAAATAGGGATGGACGATCAACCCAATTTATGACTGCATGGCGAGCTACTGTCTGTAGCTAAAACTTGGATCTAATAACTTAATTAAGGCACACCAAATTACTTATAACGATCTCCAGTTTATGTAAATTTTCTAATTCAGTATAGTAGTTAGTCCATTTTCATTTCCTGCCTTGAACACTTGCATAAACAAGCAACTAAAAACTTTGACATTTACCCCCCCCCACCCCCCCTTCCCATCGGATGCCCCCCCTTCATAACAGAGTATAAAAAGGGGCGAAAATTACGTACATATTTAATCAAATAAAACTTATAAAGGAGAGGACTGATAATCTTGTTTTAGGATTCAAAAATAAAATAACTCACCAAGATTTAAATCCATGCTAATCCAAATTTTTCAAATAAAAAAATCCACATGTGAAACTTTTGATACACCACTTTATGTTCATCATTATTATATTCCAATATGAAATTATAAACTTTCTGAAAACTTTGCAGAGGAATATTGCAAGTATTAGGCTGTTAAACCAATTGATTAAACGTATTGAAGTGCAATGTCCTAATATAATTAGCGCTGAAAGAAGTTATCACCTCAGCTCAAAATTACCTTTAACCAAAGCCTCGCGGCATAACAAGGCTTAAGAAATATTCTACACGCGCCGCTCTTCGCTTTAAGCCCTTCGGCCAAAATCGTGACTCGTTAGAATATTTCTAGACTCGCCAGAAAAGCGATACGCACGATTCGATTCTAAGTGCGTCACATATTTTAAACTATAAATATAAACAGTTGGTCTTTTTCAATACACACCTGAGACCTTTAGATAATCATTATTATTGCAGATCGCTGAGCGGTGCCCAAGCATGATGTGGTTTTATCGATCTGGGATCAAGGCTATTTTACACAAACCATCTCTCTCTCTTTCCTCTCCCCTCTCTCTCTCTCTCTCTCATTCAATTTTTTATTAACATATAAATCATTTAGACAGTGGGTATAAGTCTTCTCCATAAGGTACAAGGTACACCGTATACCCCACTACAAACAGGTATATGTTTTCATTCATACGTATACAACATGTACAAAACATTTGAAATACAGATATATTGAACACATCTAGAGTAAATTACACAAAAAGTTTGATAAATAAGCATAAGGATTAAAAGTTTAAACTATTGCCGGTTTTATGAGTAAATTTAAAATTTAAAAAAAAAAATGAAAAAAAAGAGAAGAAATGGAAAATGGGATATTCAATGAAATATATGACAAGTGTAGAAAATTTTAAAAACATATCTATGAATACATTTAAAAAAAAAAACAAAGCAACTTTTTTGTATAAGGAATATTATTGTCACCGAATGTATAGTCTCTCACTATCTCACCTTTAATTTGGTGTAATTCCCTATTTAAAACCTTAATTTTTATGAACATTAACAGATTTTTTCATTCAAGTTATATAATGATAACCCATTTTAATTTCGGGATATAAATAATATGAAGTCATATACGTGGGGATGTGCCAGTAACTGTCCAATCTATTGATTGTTATTCCTTAAAATGTATCTTCCCCCTTTTTACACCAGTATAACTTGGGTAACTACAGGTATTAACTTTATTCCTTATAATTTAATTTTATATTATTTAGTGTATAGAAAATAAGACAACTTCTCCTTCAAAAACGCAGTAATTTCAACCAAATTCAATTATTTGACAGAGCATATAGAACAATCAAGAAGAACACGGAGAAAAATGAGAAGACCTGCGACTGCTCGGTGGGTCAATTTGACAGATAGACTGGGATGCGTCAAAACTGAATTTTTCCGTATGCTTCTTTCTAGTGTATTAATTTAAAATAAAATTCACGATTTGGCATAACAAAGTATAATTAGGCCTCATTTCCCTAAATAAATGATATTTAGTTATATTTCACCTCATAAATACTGCCCAAGGCGTATAATTTTAAAATTATGAAGAATATAATTATACAAGACTCTTTTTATTGGTGCTAATCAGAAAAACAAAATTAATTAGTGTGCATGCCTGTTTTTAATCATTTTTAAAAATATGCACTTTAGAGTTTCATTAGATAAATGGTCAAGTCCCCACAAGTTTGATGTCATAATTTAATTACACATGTAATTTGAAGTCGATAAAGATTTTACAAAGACTTTAAAATGCATGCATTTAGCCATGATGTAGAACTCAGCATGATGTGTTGAGCACATACGATTTCCATCCAAAATATCCTCCGGAGAAACAAAGCATTCAACAACCTTATCATTTGCTGAACAGATTGTATACAATATTTCCGATTTTCATGACTAGTTGATTTGCAAAAATAATTCCATCTTAATTTGTACCCCTTTCAAGCATGTGATAATTATCAGACAAACCCCTTTCAATTTAGCGTGATAATTTATTAGACAGACATACAGCAAAATAGACATAAAAACGTAAAATCGGTGACCTGCAGAAATTAACAAATATTTAGGACAAGCTCAGGATATTATTTTAAAACCTTGATAATTTCAAAATTTAAATGTTGTGTAATTATCTTGTTTACGTAAGTTTATAATGTGACACCTTGCCATTTCATATGAACAAAATTATGTATGCATTCACAAGACTCCGTATTTCCCCTCTTCATTATATGACGTATCTCTTTTGTTTAAATACTAATATCTCACCAATTAAGAAACAAATATCTTCGTTTTAAGTGCCCTTGAAAGGCATTTTTATAAATTTGAAATTATAATGTCATGTATTCTAAAACCTTCCTGAACGTCCCATGACTATAGGTTAGTCAGGAGTTACAAATTAAGAAAAAAACATACAAGACATGAATAAAATTGTCACGTACGAGTCCCTTGCATTAAGTGACAGTCAGTATGGATTTGAATTTGGCAAAACACTACCTGAGTGAATGAAAATTAGCTGCATGTCACACGTTTTGAAAGCATATCATAACATTTATCAAATGATTGCCCTGTAATCACCACGCACAGATGGGATCATGTGCCATAGAGGAGAAAACATCGCCTACCGAGCGGTCACGCCCGCTGTGTGCTCCATATCATGATAGGGATATAACGGGAAATTCCGCATACTATTTATAGACATTTCATTGCGTAAATGGGGGTTTGACAGACCTGTATGAAAAAACCCAGTCAACACTTGACTCAATGATAGATTGTTATACCCCCCGCTCGAAAAGTGGGAGGGTATACTGTAATCGGTATGTCCGTCCGTCTGTCTGTACGTACGTCCGTCCATCTGTTACGCTTTAGGTTACCCATCTCTTATCCGCAAATCCTGTTATACTACTGGGTGAAATTTAATGAAACTTTTACAGAATATTTATTATATATTGCAATTGTGCACCTCCTATTTTACCTTTTGAAGCGACATGTATTTTGGGTTTCCCGGCCACAGCAAAATATGGACTTTGTCATCAGTTATAACCATAAGAGAGGCGGGGTATCATTTAATGAGGTCATTGCTCACAGTACCTCTAGTTTAATTTGCTAATAATGTTATTGTATCGACCATTATAGCACTAACAATAATACGATCGACTTTAAACGAGACTGTTGATAATCCTGTTTCCTCAACTTGTTTGACAAAAACTTACCCCATTTTAGAAATTGTCGTACTTAGAGGATGCTCTTGCGTATCTAATCAACTGAGAGATGTGAACCCCGTATGTAGAATGTAAAGGTGTAATTAGTTGTAAATGATTTTAAGCCGTTGGGATTTTTTTATTCATAAAGACAAGACAAATAAGCCTGTTATCGTTTTTAAGCCTCTAACGTAGAATAGTTCCGAGCAAACCTCATGACCTTGACATTATGAGGATGCCCCCACCAACTAATTCCCCGTCTCCCCTATTTCCCTTGATAGCGCTTTGGAAAGTACTCAGTAGTT